CTTAATAGTCAAAAATCTTAGACACAGCGCTAGATTCGAAACTTTAAAACATTTACGAGAAAAGCTCCAATGAATTACCTTGAACCGCTTTTCGGAAGAAATGCTGGCAGCTTTCAAGTCGTAAAATCTCCAAAATTATATATCCTACAGAAAAATCATCGTAGATTTTTGTCAGATTTTGAACTATTACACGAATATCTTCATCAGGTGACGTTAGCAGAGTGTAAGGCTGAACAACACTAAATGTTACGAGAATATCATCCATTGCTCTGTAGCGATGGTCTAGTTACTCGTAAAATATGTCAAGACATTCTAACATAGTTCTCTGCAGCGCCTCTGGCCATGTTAGTCCAGCATATCGGGTCATTTCTCCTGGTAAACGTTTTCGAAATCTCCTCATTCCTCTTCTTCCTTCAATCGAAATGTTCACATTATCACATTTTCTGTTACGTAGGAAATAGCTTTTTCCACTAGTTGAATACGTTGGCTTTAAAGAAAAATTTTTGGTTTGATTTTTATCACATACTTGTCCAGTGATAATCTAAATTATTACTTTATTATTTAGTATTTACTTTTTTGTCTGACTAACTTCTTTTAGGATTTTACACCAAAAGGAAAGATAGCATAAAAAACTGAAGTCACACAAAGCTGGTAAGAGTGTAGATGCTGCTTCTCTTGTATCAACTTTTTCTCTGTTGGTGCTGGGATCATATAATATATCTTCGAGTATTTATACTTGTTTTTTTTTTAATTATTCTGCAGTGGTTTAACAGCGTCATGATCAGCAATCCATCATCTCTCTGAGAGTCTTTTGACGGATACGCCTACACTTTTTATTAAAGTTTCCCTAAGTGAAACCTAAGTGAGTGCACTCCACATAGATTTAGCGAATTATTAGCACAAGGCGTTATTTACGTGGTAGAGCCATGCTGCAGCTATATTAGTAGTATAGTTGTTGCACAAATGGGTCACCTCGTCCGGGGAAGGACCACGCACTCACAGAATACTAGCGTAAAATAGCAGCTCAACACTGATGTATTTCGTATGGTGAGTGTAGAGAACCGGAGACCCTTTTTACTGGAAAAGAGGCATTCCATCTTAGTCCTCACGGGTGACAACGCATCTGCATTTTGAATCGCAAACGAGGATAGATGTAGATGTCTATGGGCCACCGCAAACACGTGTTTGCGGTGGCCCATAGACTGTCCATCCTGTGGACTGTGAGCTTGTTTGTCATCCTATCCTATAAAAAAAAAACAATATATTCATTCATTCATTCATTTGACAACATTGAGTTATACAAGACTAGAGGAGCAAACCACATTATCGCGCGCCGTAAAAAGTGAAGCCACTATCTAGCCGCGAGGACGTAGCTTTGAAACCACGAAACCTTTTTAAGTAAACATATATCTGTCTCAATTACACAAGTCACGAAAACAATACCGTCGCTAAGATTAGATAAAGATAGACACACAAACATGCAGTGACGGATTGGTATTGCCTACTATATGAAATTTTACCCAAAAATAAGCAATAAAAAAGAGTTTTTTTAAGCAATTATTTTGAAGTTATTTGTTTTTATTTTAAATATTTATCTTTGCTTATCCGATGAATAGAAGTATAACTAATGAAATGAAAGATTTTTCGAAGTATCTTTTATTGTACTGATAAATCAAACAAAAAATAAATCAAGTAAAAAAAAATCAATTTTGGGTTTCTTAAATTGAAATATTCCTCAATTGTGAAACCATCGGCAAGTCTTTGTCTCCTAAATTTGGTCTCATGACATTAGCCACAAAAACCGTGGTTATTAATATATTTTTAAGTTAATACTAAATGGTGCTTATATGTCGTACTAATCCTCTTAGGTATTAAACCCGATGGTCGGTTAACGTATGGGCAGGTTTATTTAAGGATCGCATACTAGGACCAGTGTTGTCTGCCACAGCGACTTAACGGACAGCGATACCTGAACTTCATAAATGCACAGTTGGTTGACATTTTAGACAACCTATCGTTAGCTGAATATCGCCGCACATGGTTCCAGCATGATGGTGCCCCTCCAGATGTCATGAGGTTCACCTGTGAGCGCTTCAACGAGCTATTTGATGATCACTGGATCGGCAAACTAGGACCACACGCTTGGCCTCCTCGCTCACCAGATCTGACCCCGTTAGACTTCTTTCTGTGGGGTATGTGAAAGAAAGGGTTTTTAATCGTGAGTGTGATAGTGCTGACGAAATGCGCCAAAGGATCGTGGATGTTTTAGACAAACTATGTACGGACTGTATCGAAGACCACACGATGATGCCCCGCCTACATGAGGAGACGCAACACCGTGCCCGAATCTGCCTTGAAATGAATGAAGCACAATTTGAGCCGCATGTTATAAGACCACAGAGGATTTAGAGCAACCTGTTTTATACCTAATTCTTTTTAAATAACTTAGTACTGAACTCATCTGAATAGGTACATAACTGAATACATCAGAATAATAAACATACCTATACGATGAATAAAAACGCATGACTAACCTTGTTAACATTTCATCTAAGTATTTTTTTCATTAGTGGGAAATCGAACCAGTTATTTGGGTTATTTAACCTGTGAATTCGAATTAAAGTGGCTAGGTGGAGACAAGCAGAGTGGCAAAGTAGTACGTTAAGCAGATAAGTTAGGTATTTAGACAAGTGTTTTAAATTATTAGGTATTGTGGTATGGCCCGCTAGTTGTGGGCCGCGCGAATTCGGCGTTCGCGCGTACATTGACCTCTAGTCAGCTGATTGTGATTCAGTAATTCCTCTGCTGGTTTTATGTTTCAGTTTTTGCATGATTTTTTTACGAAATTATCGTTTCATTTAGCTGTACTAACATGATGGAGCATGAATAAATCTAATAAAACCTTTTGAAGACATGATTTTTTTCATCAGGATCGATTTTATATTTCACCCATCATCAAAGGTATAGTTGGTACTGTCGTCTGTCTTCGTTTTCGGGAGCGTTTCAAAAATACCCTGTATACAATGTTATGTTCCTTTCTAATACAACTTCATCATATTCATTATCTTCATTACAGCCTTTCATAAGTCCACTGCTGAACATAGGCCTCCCCCAAGGAATGCCCGGTCCTGAGCTACCTGCATCCATCGACTTCCTGCATGTCTTACCAGGTCGTCACTCCATCTCGTGGGGGGTCGCCCTACACTTCGCCTACCGGTACGAGGCTGCCACTCAAGAACCTTTCTTCCCCATCGGTTGTCAATATAACTTAATGTACCTTAATTTTAATTGTTTCATTAAATAATATTTTAATATAACTCCACATATAATGCACCCTTATGTCGATATCGATACAATTAGAACATCATGAAACATCGATATCGATGATTTAAAGGATTTGTGCTTGCAATCACTAAAGCCATACATTGCTATACTGAATTTGTATAGTCATAAAGCCCGCTTTTCACTATAGGATAAAATATAATACAGAGGCTAATCCAATGACGAACGCACCCTGGTTAAAAGATATATATAACAGTGTCAAAGCCAATCGCGGGATATCTATACTATACTAATATAATAAAGCGGAAGAGTTTTTTGTTTTTTTGTTTGTTTAAACGCGCTAATCTCTGGAACTACCAGTCCGAATTGAAAAATTCTTTTTGTATATTATAGCCAAATTTATGTGGAATAGTATAGGCCAGTGATGCTCAGACTTATTAAGACTAGGGGCCACTCGGGCAAATTATGAACTGATGGCGGGCCGCCAGAAGTATAGGTAATTAAAGACAATAAATAATTGATAATAATGTATTAAACTTCAAAAAGAATTTATTAATTTGAAGCGTGGCACTGCATAGTGCTTACAATCTATTTTATATTTGGCTCAAATTTACTTGTAGCAACACGTAAAACTGCTTCCAAACTTTCATTTGCAAGGCGGTTTCGATTTTTTATTTTATTATTATGTAGTATTGAAAAGGTTTGTTCACATATATAGGTAGAAACAAATAAGCTGGCACATTTCAGAGCGTTTATGCGCAACTCTTTGTACGTATTTTTATCAATGCAGCGGTAAAAGTTCAGCAAGTCTCCTTCGTTGAATTTGTTGCGTAAATCTTGGTCGTTTTGAATGTCGATAATTTCTAACTGCATTGACTCTGGCGCATTTTCAACTGAAATCGTGAAAGGATTGCTGAATATGTCCAACAGAGGTTTCACTTTTTTAAACTCCAAAAATCTGTCTTAAAAAGATTGAATCAAAATATCTAGCTTTTCTACATAATTGAAATTAATCGCAGTTTTGTTGAATTTTTCAGCCATTTTCTTATAATTCGGAAAATGATTGTAATTTCCAGAATTCAAATGCGATCTGAAAAGTGTCATCTTGCATTGAAAGGATGTTACATGAGCGTAGAGCTGGGATATCAGTTGATTTTTGCCTTGAAGCCGTGTGTTCAAGACATTCAAATGATTTGTAATATCAACTAAAAAAGCTAAATCACACAACCAATCAGGATTTTTAAGTTCCGGGACATCTCTTTGCTTTTCGGCCAGAAATATTCCAATTTCTTCTATTAAATTTAGAAATCGTTCCAGTGTCAATCCACGACTTAGCTACCTTACTTCTGTATAATACAGTAAATCTCCATATTCGCTTTCGCTTTTCGCTATTTTATGAAATTTACAGTCGAAACTAGCACTTTCATGACATTTTGAAATTCAATTTTTTTAGAACAGAGGGCTTCTTGGTGTATAATGCAGTGAAACTGCGTGAGATCTTCAGCGTTTATGTTTTTTTCTTGCAGATGCTTTTTCAGCAAAGTAGCTAAGTAACACCAATCATCGAAGGAGCACCGTCAGTCGCAACTCTCGATAATTTTGATAAGTCCAAATCAGTTTTTGAACACTCATCCAAAAGTACATTGAGTATATCAACTCCTCTGGTTTGACCTTTCAATGAACATTCCTCGTATGAAATCAGAAGTTGAGCTGTGGAACTAATTAATATCAGTGGATTCGTCGAGTGCTAATGAAAAAAATTCAATGATCTTAATTTTTTCATTTAATTGTTCCGCAATATTACCTGACAAAGATATAATTCGTCTTTGGATATTCATACGATTCAGTTGAATTTTCTCAAACTTTTTTGCTGCTTCTGGACACATTTTCTTAGCGGCAATTTCTATGCATTCTTTTACAAAATCTCCATCATTGAAGGGGCGACTTCGCTTTGCTATCATTCGAGAAATTTCATAACTAACTTCTGTAGCTGTTTCTGAATCTTGAATGGGTTTTGTAAACATAGCTTGCTGACCAATAAGCTCCCGTTTTAAAGACAACATTTTTTGCTTTCTTAATTCGCCTGTAAACTTGGTAAAAGTAGGATGCTGCGTTTCATAGTGCCTTTTTACATTATATTCCTTTGCAATCGCAACAGAATTCTTGCAAATTAAACAAACGACTTTGTTATGCGACCATACAAAAAAGTATTTCTCAGTCCAAATTTCTTGAAACTGCCGATTTTCATCTTTAACCTTACGTGTTTTACTAGGTCCTGGCTTGTCCATGTTGCATTCTAATCATGGCTAGGATTAACACATCACCTAAAAACAATTACAGTACCTACTCAAATTACCCATCTTTTTTTAAATTACCAAAAATAATTGATTAAATAGTTCCTTACCTATTAATACACTTATTAATAACAGAGTTTTACTTACGATTTCACAACACAATTATACACGGCACTTGACGGGAAATCTACGTTGAATGTGGATCAAAATATATGACACCGGCTAGTCGAGTTAAAATCTACACTAGAACTATTGACACTTCACTCAAATTAAAACCGAACTGTTGGTCGCTGCGGTTAGCGTGGCTTTTATACCGCGCGTATAGAGTCGAAAACTGTCTGGAGAAATCACGAAACCGACTATGGAAGCTTCGTGTATCTACCTACGCGAGCAATCGGGAATTTGGGACTATTTTTTTTTATAGGATAAGGATGACAAACGAGCACACAGTCCACCTGATGGTAAGTGGTTGCTGCGGCCCATAGACATCTACATCTATTCTCTATTACAAATCAAAATGTAGATGCGTTGTCACCCGTGAGGACTAAGATGTAATGCCTCCTTTCCAGTAAAAAGGGCCTCCGGCCACCTGCACTCACCAAGCGAAACGCAGAGGCAAACCTCTACTTCACGCTGTTTTTCTGTGAGGTCGTGGTACCACCCCGGTTCGTGCGACAGCAAAAGCTGCCGCATGGCTCTACCACTGTTAGAGTGACCTTTAGATCGCCCGGCGGTCGATAAAAAAGGTCGAAAAACGTCCGCCATACCATATGTCTATTTCTTATACATAAGCCATAATTTGGTATTTTGTGACAAAATTTATTGAAAATTTAAAAGTGATTTATGAGCGTTATTATTAGAAATGGCCTATTTATCCTTACGAACGAAAGTTACTTCATCATCAAGACAATTTTATGAAGATAAACTTTGTTCCTTATACCATGTTATTTGGACGCATAGTTTAAGAGATAATGTAAAATTAAAATAATTTAATACTTGGCTGGGCGTGCGAACGACGCTTAAACCCTAGCCGTTATAAAATGCTTTTTTTTCTTTCTTTCTTTCTTTCTTACTATGTCATGTCGCGCACCTCGGACACGTGATGACGCGGGTGAAACCGCGGGGCACAGCTAGTAATTTATATCTCGGAATATAATATATTTTATATCCCATAGTGAAAAGCGAGCTTCACTCATCTGTCAAATATGTCTGCAGCGCCAAAACGCGTAGTTAGGAAACTTGACTAAAATGTCACTGTCGTATCTGTAGCTAGCTACATATTTATTTATCTATGCTATGGTTCGATCAAAAATGTAGAAAGGCCGCTAGGCTTAGGTTCAGAAGGGTTAGAACCCAGGGTCGTAAAATCAGTTAAAAAAATGTAGAAAGGTTGTCATTTGTCAAACAAATAAATAACTTCATGATTGTTCATGATGTTTTAGAGAAGAAAAAGACACAGAGTATTATATACAATATGACAGGAAAAGAAAAGGGACTTCTATCATAGACAGTTTGTTAAAAGTGCCATGGAAGAGGAAAGTAAAAGTACGAAATTTAAAACCTTAAAGGATAGAGTATCTAAACCAACATTGGATGCAGTTAAAAATCTAGGATTTAAGTATATGACTGACATTCAAGCTGAGGTAATACCTAAAGCATTGGATGGAGCAGATATAGTAGCCACAGCAAAGACCGGTTCAGGCAAAACATTAGCATTTTTGATTCCTGCTATAGAGGTAGTGGCTAAACTATCAAGAAAGAAAATCCAAGGTATATTGTTAGTTTAATTAAAATTACATTTATATAATTCACTATTGATTGATGTATTTACATGTAGTGTAAATACTCATAATTATTATCATTCTAGCCAATCATAGTCCACTGTTGAACAAAGTTGTTATTAGGAAGACGACACTCCTGCCCATCTCCTGGTTTGCTAGGAGACAAGGACAAGGACATAGGAGACAAGAGGGATCTTGTCTCCTCTTTCGCCATTTATGGGATTTTATAGGGTAGTGGATATTCTTACACTGCCACTACACAATGACTAAAACTATGTCAAATGTCAATATTTAAGTTAAATGTTTGTAATATAATAAAATTTTCCATTTATTTAAATATTTCAGGTACTTATTGTATAATAATCTCACCAACAAGAGAGCTTGCAACTCAAACCTATCAGGTACTACAAGATATGATATCATACCATGATGGACTTACTTCAACATTAGTTATAGGTGGAGAAAGTAGAAGGGCACAAAGCAATAAACTTGCCTTTGGTAATTTATTTATATAATCTATTTTTTTCTTGTCAGTATGTTATATATTTTTTCTGGTCATTCCAAAAAATTTGAATTATAAAACCATTATATTTACATGTTTAGGTGTTAATATTTCTTTCATAGAAAGATAACAAAAAGTGCAATGGAGATGGATACTATTCCATCTTGCTTCCTTATGGACTCCCAAGGTCATCCCCCGGTACCAATCTGCTATTAAGGAGTTGACACAGCCTGATATATGCAAATACATGCATATGACATGCTTGTGATGTATGGCGCTTGTGCCAGATTAGCGACGTGTAGTATAGCAGCCTGAGGTTTTCGGTGATGCAAACCCATAAGGTTATCTCCTACCAAAAATCGCTCAATGTGGCTAAAGAAGTTTTCACTTTAATAACCATTTTTATAGTTGTAGAATTTTTTTTTAATTACTTAATAATGGTTTAGTTTTCTTATATAGTCAATTGTATTCATAAATTTTTGAGTGCAACTAGTAGAAAAGATTGAATTAATGCATTTATACTTTTCTACAAAGTGTTAAACAGTGTATATGAGTGTTGTATGAGCTATTATATCGAGGACGTACCTAGTAAACTTTATTAGAATTAAGGGGTGACAAGGCATATGAACTTTGATTCTTAATCGAGGTTAGATTTAGATGTCTATAAACCACAGCATTCAGTTCATGTGGACTGTGACCTTATATTCATCCTTATTCTTAAAAGAAATTTACATAAATTAATTAACAATTTTAGGTGCCCATATAGTTGTTGCAACTCCAGGACGGTTATTTGATCACATGCGAACAAAAGAATTTGACTACAGATATGTAAATTGTTTAATATTGGATGAAGCCGATAAAATTTATCAATATGGCTTTGAAGAAGACTTAAAACAAATAATTTCACGGTTGCCAAGTGAGTGCAAATTATTTAAAATTATTATCTATTTTGCCCATCATAAGTCCACCTCTGAATATAAATCTCTCCTACAGAGAATGCCACATGGCATTAAGTCCATCCTATGTACCCTTTACCTTAAGGTGTTACATTTAAGTTTTTAATAAAATAAATAAAAGAATTGTCCTAAGCCACCTGTTTCCATCAGCTCTAGATGTTGCATCAGGTTTTCACTCAACCTATGGAGTGTTGCATTACATTTGGCTTGTGGGCTTGTGGCAGCAACTGGATAAAAAAAATTCCCATTTGTTGTCAGTACTTTGTACTTTCTTTGTTACTCTCATCATGGGGGGCTTTGTGGCATTCTTTGGGGGAGGCCTATGTTCAGCAGTGGACTTGTGAAGGGCTGTAATGATGATGATGATGAAAAAAATAAAGTTATATTGTATCTTTGAATTTATTGTTGTTATAATAGCAAGACTTAATTTGGCTTTAAATTTCTATTTTGCACATTTAATATTTTTAGTGTTCAACAATTTACCAAAAGAGTGAATATTTGGATGATGCCAGGTGACTTATTTAGACAGTTTGGGTATATCGGTTACTCTGGTTCTGAGTTTATCACACAGAGAAACTCCGAGCATAGCCCCCTCCATAGCTCGCTGAGCGACCTTGAGCTTCCTCATCCGGCCAGCAGTGAAGGACCACGTCTCAGTTCCATATGTCATCACTGGCAACACGCACTGGGTGTACAGTCTCGTTTTCAAGTTTTGAGGTATAACTGACGAGAAGATGTGCTGTAATTTCCCGAACGCTGCCCAACCGAGTTGAATCCGTCGATTGACCTCTCGGTCAAAGTTGGACTTACCTAGTCGGACTATTTGTCCCAGGTAAACATACTCGTCAACAACTTCGAGCTTAGTGTTCCCAACAACTACCGGCATAGGTGTGACATGGACATTAAACATGATCTTTGTTTTGTCCATGTTCAACTTAAGACCTATCCGTTGGGAAACACAATTGAGGTCATTGAGCATAGTGCTTAGGTCCTCCAGCGATTCTGCCATAAGGACTATATTGTCGGCAAATCGAAGGTGAGTGATGTACTCGCCATTGATGTTGATACCGTATCCTTTCCAGTCCAGAAGCTTGAAAACATCTTCCAATGCAGCGGTAAAGAGTTTCGGGGATATGACATCACCCTGTCTTACACCTCTCTGCAATTGGATAGGTTTCGTACTCTGGTTCTGTACTCGGATAGCCATCGTAGCCCTACTGTACAAGCACTTCAACACTTCGATATACCGACAGTCAACTTGGCACAGCTGAAGGGACTGCAGCACCGCCCAAATTTCGACGGAATCAAAGGCTTTCTCATAGTCCACATACGCCAGACATAGTGGCAAATTGTACTCCTCGGACTTCTGTACAATTTGCCAAAGGGTATGTATGTGGTCTATGGTGCTAAAGTCTTTTCGGAAACCGGCTTGTTCGGGAGGCTGGAAGTCGACAAGTCTGCGCGCGAGACGATTCGTAATGACTATTGTTATTTTTTTTAGTTGCTATGAATTATAAATTAGGTATTTTTCTTTTATACACAATAACTTTATTTTACAATCGTTTAGATCAATATTTAACGCAAATCAACTTTTTATTTAGCCGTCAATATGGTTTTCGACAAAAATCAAATACATTATCCGCTACCATTGACTTAATTACCAAAATAAAAACCAACATCGATGCAAAAAATATTGCACTGGGAATATTTATCGACCTAAAAAAAACGTTCGACACTGTTAGTTACACAATCCTGTTAAATAAACTCTCACAGATTGGAATCACTAGCAATGCGTACAAAATTTTCAAATCATATCTTAATAATCGTTCTCAGATTGTCAAAATTGGCAATCATCAGAGTTCTTCTCAAACCATAACTTGTGGTGTACCCCAGGGATCAATACTCGGGCCCCTATTATTCTTGATTTATGTTAACAATATCAGCCAATTATTACTACATGGAGAAATTAGTCTATATGCTGATGACACATGTATATTTTACTTTGGGCATTCACTTAAAAATATTATTCAACTAGCACAGGAAGATCTTAATACATTGCATAACTGGTTTCAGTACAACTTGTTTACCATAAATATAGCCAAAACCAGTTATATGATATTTAAGTCCAAGAATAAAAAAATACACAACTACACACCATTAACAATTAACGGTATAAAACTAAAAGAATCAGTGGAGGAAAAATATCTTGGACTGATAGTTGACAGCGGCTTGACTTGGAAGGCACACATAAATAAAATACGATCTAAGCCTTCACCCCTAATTGGGTTACTACACAACATGGTTAAATGCACTCCACGTCAAGTTCGATTCATGATCTATTTTTCACTTGTCAAACCTCACTTAGACTACTTAATTGAAGTTTAGGATACTGCAGGCAAAACATCGCTTGCTGATCTGCAAATAACTCAAAACAAAATAGTGAAAGTTTTATTTCACTATGACTTCTTAACTCCAACACAAAAAATTTACACAGAAACAAAATTAATGAACATCAAACAATTATATCATTATAATACATGTATTCTAATGAAAAAAATTATGTCTAATACTGTACACTCACAATTACGTTTTAAAACTAAAGAAGATCTAGGCCTTCGACCTCTTCGAAGTACAAATAATATTAATCTTCCAAAACCACGCACAAATTATGGCAAAAAGAACATAAGATAGGAGGGAGCACAAATTTACAATAAATTACCTTTAGACATAAAAATGTCCAATAAGTTTACGGTCTTCAAAAACAAATGAAAAGAATATATAAGCAACAATGTTAAATTAATTTAATTATATCTGAACCCGGCCCTGGTATCGCGTATAGCGTAGCATTGTTATTAATTTCCACCCACATTATTTTTGATTTTTGCTTCTAGTATCTTTGCAACGACAATAAGTGTCGCATTGTATAATGTACTCTCGATTTAGTTGTTATTGTGTATATCATATTATCAGTTATGTTTGTATTCATCGACCTAAAAACCTTGTCAAACATTTTTCTTATAACTTTCTCATGAAGTGAAATAACGTACTTCTTTTGAGAAATATAGTTTCTTTAACCACAACTTTATTTTTATAGAAGAAAGACAAACAATGCTTTTTAGTGCTACAAAGTCGGAGACAACAGATGCATTAATAAAATCAGCTTTGCGAGCAGACTTACACTCCATAAATACAAATGAAGACAATGATAAGGCAACTGTTGCAGGATTAAAACAGGGGTATGAATGTTATACAAAAATAATTTATAGATTATTGCTATTATTTTCATTTTCTTCAAATTTTACAGTTTAATGAATGGAGCGATGTTTTTGCTCCGTTAGGAACGGCCCAATAATGCAACATTGTGTTTTAATAATTTTTCATCCCATGTGGTGGTGGCATAAAAGAACACATTATTTCGTCCTGTTGATGTCTTAAGAGGCGATTATGGGAATGCCAAAAATATCTTATGGCTTTCGATAGATAAAGTTAAAATCATCTCATTTATGCCATGCGTAAAATAACTAGACTGGTGATGGGAAGCGGCGTTAGGTGCAAATTACACATATCGGGGCACACTTAAATGATCGGGAATAGAATATTTCGGATTGAGTTACAATAACACCTTTTTTAGAATTTGAATACTGGCCTCTTAGAATCTTAATGACATTGAAACAATTAAAAAAATTTTTAAAAACAAAAACTGTTGGTTTGAAGTTGACACGTCGTTAAAAGAAATGGAGCTCACGCGTGAACATTTCCGTGTCATAATTTATCACAATTTTCGTCGCGGCTTATCTCAAGATAATGTCTCAGCAAACTTGTTTCCATTTTTTGATGTTGAAACACCGAGTCAAACGACAATATACTGCTGGTATGCCGAGTTCCGACGCGGTCGTGTGACGCTCAGCACTGTTTCTTCTGCAGGTCGACCAAGAACAGCGGTCACGCCTGAAAACATCGCAGCTGTGCGAACTATTATATTAGATGACCGTCATGTGACATACGAGCAGATTCGGGCAGTTATCAGTATCGGAATGACTGCAATTCAGTCGATATTACATAATGAGCTGTGTGTAAGAAAGCTAGTTTCCCGCTGGGTTCCCCACAATTTGTCCGAAGAGCAAAAGGCGGCTCGTGTAGATTGGTGCCGGAATACTCTGCAACGCTTCAACGGAGGGAAGTCAAATGCCGTTTATAATATCGTTTCAGGGGACGAATTATGGATTTATTCATACGAACCTGAAAGAAAACATCAGTCAGCAGTTTGGGTCTTCGAAGACGAGGTTAAACCAACGAAAGTGGTTCGCTCCCGCAGCGTGTCAAAGAAACTGGTCGCTACGTTTGTCTCGAAAAAGGGGCATGTTGCTACAATTCCTTTACAGGAATGCAGAACGGTTACCGCTGAGTGGTATATCACGGTTTGTTTGCCAGAAATGATAGCCGAACTCCGAAAAATAACCCGAAACGTCGCATCATCTTACATCACTATAATGCGAGCTCCCATACGGCTCGGAAGACAAATGATTTTTTGAAGCAGGAAAACGTTGAGTTGATGAGCCATCCTCCGTACAGTCCTGACCTGAGCCCAAACGATTTCTTTACATTCCCTAGAATGAAAGATTTATTACGCGGTTAACGGTTAGAAGACCCCGAAGCAGCTGTGGAAGCGTACAAATCAGCCATTTTGTCAACATCAACTACAGACTGAAATTACTGTTTTAATGATTGGTTTGCACCAACGGAAAAGTGCATTAAGTTGAACGGAAGATACTTCGAAAAACAATAAAATACAATTTAGCTATACTGTGCATGTACTTTTTCTTATTCCCGATCAGTTCAGTGTGCCCCTCGTATATACATAATAATACAGAAGCGGCATAAGGCAAAGGCACGGCACAGGCGCGGCACAAGAGTGGAGCGGATAAAAGGTGGATGCTTGTAGTTGTGCCCCGGTGCTTGAGTATAATTCACGACATACCGCTTTCATACACTTTATATGAAAAAGTTTTGAAGCGGCACCATGGCGTGCCTTCATGCCGCTTCTGTATATTTTGCGCCTTAAATATCCGAAACGTCTTGTACTGCGATCGTCAATCCGCCTGCAAAGTCATGCTATTTTGTCCCGTGGGTGTCGTTTCTTTTATAGGATAGGGTGACAAACGAGCACAGTTTACCTAATGGTAAGTGGTTACTGTGACCCATAGACATCTGCATTTATCCTCAATAAAGAATCAAAATGCAGAAGCGTCGTCACCCGTGAGGACTAAGATGGAATGCCTCCTTTCCAGTAAAAGGTGTCTCCAGTTCTTTACACTCACCATACGAAACAGCAGCGTTAAGCTGCTATTTTACGCTGGTATTCTGTGAGAGCGTGGTCCTCCCCCGGTCGAGCCGACCCACTCGTGCTACAACTATACTACTAATATAGCTGCAGCATGGCTCTATCACATGAAAAAAGATCAAAAGATCTTAAAGCTTTCAATAAATTGCGTTATAAACATTTCGTGTACGCCAGGTGCGAAATGCTCAGTCCGGCGACGGCAAGCAGCGGTCTAAGGTGTGAAATGTAACGTACTGCAATAATTAATCCCGCCAAGCGTGACGATTACGGCAAATCCTCTATACAACTGGAGAGGTCCATGTCAGCAGTTGACTTTTACGAACAGGTCAAGAAGAAATGAGAAGATTTTTGTTATAGGTTACTGTTACAACGCTTCACAAGTTTACATAGGCCCTGCCAAGGAGTGCCACCAAACAAAGTTCTGAGCCATCCGCATCCATCAACTTCCCACTTATGACAGAATAAACCACAGTTTTCGTGAAATTTGACATTTGATGTCATTTCCACAATTTACATTTAGTCCGCATATTTTCGCAGGACTACTTGCGTGAAACATTTTAGTTTAGAATTGAGACTACTTACAATCTTCTTTTTGTAACAAGACTGAATCCATTTTTTTACAAAATGTGGCTTATTTATAATCTCAGATTTTAATTTTGGCTTAAAATATTTTAGAAGAAAAAAAAGGTATTTTAGAGAAATAAAAAAATTTGGTGATTAAAAAAGGTCTTTTACAAAAACAGTATGTAAAACTAGATAGGGAAGAGATATTTCGACTCACATTTTAAAAACGTATCCCTGCTATAATCTAATAATAATAGAAATTTCTGTGTATTGTGGTGTGGAGGCGTTTTACATCAATTCAAATTATGAATAGGATCTCTGTGGAGGTAGCATATTGTAACAAAATATATAGTTGCGCGAGAGTGCCGCTCAGACTAGCCTCGACTTGAATCTGAGTGTAGCTGCATTTCCTTCTACGGTAAACATAAAGGAGGCGCACATTTTGAACAATTATGCCGCAGCCCTCATCCTTAAGGTCCCTACGCTTCAGGTTTTCTCATAAGTTTCTCATTTAATATTCTCATTTCAGGTATGTAATTTGCGAAACAGAATACCGGCTAAGTTGGTTACATAAGTTACTGAAAAAGACGCAGAATCTGAAAGTCATGGTATTCTTTTCTAGTTGTAAGTCGGTTGTGTTTCATCACGAATTTTTTACCAAATATTGTAATATGTCAGTGCTATGCATTCATGTAAGTGTGATTTTTAAAGGTATGATTACAGATAGCGGCACGAATCTTGAGCACAATCTTGATCTATAATAAACTAGGGTAAAACACCCAGTAGTCAGCCTTTTAGTGAGGACTAAAATTTGATTCAACTGTATTTTAAATATTAAACATTATGAATAAAAACAATCATTATCTCCAGTAAGGTTGTTTATTAAATTTACTAAAGAAATTAACAAAACATTATATTTATAATAGAATTATATAGAAAATCAACATTAAACAAATTATGGCACTTTTCACCAGTAGTCAGCCTCATTTCTCCACAAGTCAACCATGTCTAATCCTGTAGTCAGCCTCTCACTTATTCTAACATATTTGGCATAGAAATTCTTTATTATGTATATTTCCAATTATCATCATTATCATCGTCATCATCATCATCATTACAGCCCTTCCCAAGTCCTCTGCCGAACATAGGGCTTCCCCAAGGAATGCCACAAAGCACAGTCCCGAGCCACCTGCGTCCATTGACTTCCTGCATGTCTTACCAAGTCGTCACTCCATCTAGTGGGGGGACGCCCTACACTTCGCCTGCCTGTATGAGGCTGCCACTCGATAACGTTTCTTCCCCATCGGTTGTTGGTTCTTCGAGCTATATGGCCGGCCCATTGCCACTTCAGCTTACTAATCCTTTGGGCTATGTCGTTAACTCTGGTTCTACTGCGGATATCCTCATTTCTAAGTTTATCACGCAAAGAAACCCCAAGGATAACCCTCTCCATAGCTCGCTGAGCGACCTTGAGCTTCCTCATACCGCTAGCAGTGAAGGACCACGACTCAGATCCATAGGTTATCACTGGCAACACGCACTGGTTGTACAATCTAGTTTTGAGGTTTTGAGGTATATCTGACGAGAAGATGTGTCGGAATTCTCCAAACGCTGCCCAACAGAGTTGAATCCGTCGATTGACCTCTCGGTCGAAGTTGGACTTCGATTTGCCGACGATATAGTTCTTATGGCAGAATCGCTGGAGGACCTAAACACTATGCTCAATGACCTCAATAGTGTCTCCCAACGGAAAAGTCTTAAGATGAACATGGACAAAACAAAAATCGTATTTAACGTCCATGTCACACCTATGCCAGTAGTTGTTGGGAGCACTAAGCTCTCGAAGTTGTTGACGAATATGTTTACCTGGGACAAATAGTCCGACTAATAGTTAAAAGTTCAAATTAACCATGCAAGGCAATCATCACATCCAATATTCTTTAAGTCAATCATTTCTGTGTCACTAGTCAATTCCTTTTCACAGTTTTCGCATCTTACTTTGTTTATTGTACATATAGTATTTATCTTCCTCCTTTTGCTATTTTTGGAATCTAACAGCTTTTCCGCTTTCCTTTTTTGTAATTATTTTTTCTTTTTTTTTTACTTTGTTCTTCTTTCTTTGTTCGTTCTTTTTCTGTTGCTTCATTTCTTCTTTTTGTTTCTGAAATTGTCTACACTCTTTGGAAGAAATAGCTTCTATTCTTTTCATCCCATATCTAATCGCCGCTATAACTTGTGTTAATTGTTCTTGTTTGTATTGATGAACGGATTTTTGACATGATAGAATTCTAAAACAAATGATTTTCATGCTAAAATAACCGTGTATAGGTTTCACCCTTATTGAAAAGGCTTTAAGGCACTATTTTGTGCAACAGCACTAACGGCTGACTACTGGATTTGTAGACCCATTGGTCGGCTCCTGACATGCAATTACATTTGTACGCGGCTGACTACCGGTAAAATACACTTTTCGCCTTATAAGAGTTAAACACAAAGTAATGAGCAAAATTGGGACTATTTGTTCCGTTAATTTCAACTACATAATATAAGAAATTCACGAAAAAACCAGTAGTCAGCCACTTATGGCTGAGTACTGGATCTACCCTAAAAATTCGAAACTCACTAGTGGGCCACCCTACATTAACACATATTAAACAAATAAAATGCGTGTAATAGTTAATTTTATCACAAAATAAACATTTTATTGTAACACAGTATAACAATCCACCACAAATCACAACAAATACACAAAAATTTACCGAAAACTCAAGCACGTTTCATTAAGAAAAAATTGCAACAGCGACGTATCTAGTTATGTCTTTGGCAGCCGTGCAAATTAACGAGTGTAGCTCGTCAACCTGACATGATATTGGTTCGTAGGTGTGCGGATTAGTCAATAAGGAGACACAGATTCAATTAAACGTTATTTTAAAGGTGTAAACAAATTTCAACATTATTTATATGGAAATAATGTCTGTAAAGGCTGAGTACTGGTGCGGGGCTAACTATCGGGTGTTTTACCGTAGTCGATTAATTAAAATGAAGTATTAGTCGATTATTATAATGAAGTACAAGTGCGCGGGGCGAGGACGGTGACGTAATTTCAGGTGATTGGCCCATCTGCTAATTTTCGTAGTCTATTTAAAATATAGATAGATAAGTTTTATTCGCTTGCAGCGCCTTCGCTAGGAAGTCTACATGCGTAAAGTTATCCATTCTACTATTCCTCTATGCTCAAGACTCGTGCTGCTGTCTGTAGCTAACTTGCGACGACTATTAAAAATTTTTTTTCATTTTTTAACTTTGATATGTGGGTAATGTTAAATGATAATGATATTAGATATTATGTTTTAGTTCACAATTGTTAATTTGGTACATTAATTTTTTTGGTGTTATTATATTTTTATCATTTATTTGTTTTAGGGTAAAATGAATCAAACTGACCGGACTGCTACCATTACAAATTTTTATAATGCTGAAAAATTAGCATTATTTTGCACAGATTTAGCAGCTAGGGGTCTAGATATTCCAGCAGTGGATTGGATAGTGCAGTTCGATCCACCCTCTGATGCGAATGTAAGTTTTCAATTATAGCTGCTCTGCAAGTTTTCAAATATAAAGAATGAACACTGTGGTTCATCTTTTTAAGGACGATTGTTTAAATTATACACTTAGTTTAGTTTAGTTTACGACGGGCTGTTTTCCGCAACTCCACGTCTATGCGCGTATTTTGCGTGTGGGCAGGAATAATGTGATTATTCGAGCCATGAGATCTCTCCGAAGAAGCTCAACAGGCCCTTGATGTTGCATGCAACTTCGGGGAGTGATCCCGGCGTGCCGAGATGTTTAGCCCTGTATGTAGCGACCTCCGGACATTTCAGTAGCACGTGGGCCGCCGTTTCTTCCTCCCCCATACATGCCCTGCACAGGGGACTATCTGTAACACCTATAGTAAATAAATGTTTGTTAAAGGTGCCGTGTCCTGTGATAGCACTTGTTACTATCCTAATCTGCGGCTTGTTCAGTCTCATTAAAACTTTTGTTAAGCGACTGTTAATTTCAGGCAGGGCACCCCTAGCTTGTCTACAGTCTACTAGATTTTTCCAAAGCTGAGCGTGTTGATTAGTGAAGTGTCTACGTACCAGTGAACAAACGTTACCAAAGGGGATTGGTATGATTGGTTCCGGCCCTATAGTGGCCAAAGCCGATCCTCTTCTAGCCAGTTCGTCTGCTGCATCGTTGCCTCTGGATCCACTGTGTCCCTTTATCCATTGCAGGGTCACATTGTTGTTTTTACATACCTCATTTAATCGTTGATGGCATTCATATATTAGTCCCGAGTTCACCACATTGCATCTCAGGGCTTGGAGTACCGCCCTACTGTCGGTCAGTATTCTGATGGGGAAGTCATTAACCTTCCTAGCATCTATTGCTATGGCCGCTTGAATGATACCCATACATTCCGCCTGAAAGACCGTGTTATAGGTACCCAGCGGTGTGCATATGTGAATATTGAGGTCTTCAGAGAAAGCTCCAGAACCTACACCTTCATTTGTTTTAGAACCATCGGTGAAAATTCTAAGCTCTTTTGGGCTTAATCCTTCCGGCTGGCTGTTTTCATTTAACTGTATCTTGTATTTCTTATCGAAAACAAATTGTTTAGGAATCCTATCGTATTTGGCTTGTAGGATAGGAATTTTTGAGTGAATTCTATCAATTATGCCTGTATGAGGGACACTATTCTTACTCCAAAGATTTAGGGTCTTGAGTCTGATGGCAGCTAAAGTCGCTTCTTGTTGTATATGTAGATGAAGCGGAGTTAGCTCCAGCATCGCTTCTAAGGCTGCTGTTGGCGTAGTTCTCATGCAGCCTGTGGCAGCCATACATGCCAGTCTCTGGTAGCGCTGAAGCTTTTTAATTATGGTGGCTTCATTTGTCTTGGTCCACCATACCAGAGCGCCGTATGTGATCATGGGCCGAATTACAGTTTTGTAAAGCCACAGTATGATTTTTGGCGTCAATCCCCATCTTTTGCCAATCATGTTTCTGCATTGCCAGAAAGTTATGCTAGCTTTGTTGATTTTGTTTTCTATGTGTTTATTCCAGTTAAGTTTGCTGTCCAAGGTAAGACCTAAATATTTTACCTCAGAGGATAGCTGGAGTTTTGTGCTAAAAAGACTTGGAGGATGATAGTTATTCAGCTTTCGTTTTTGTGTGAACATAACTAAAACCGTTTTATTTGGATTGACGGTTAAGTCGTGTTCCCTGCACCATCTCTCCACTATACGGAGAGCCGCTTGGGTCAGGTCGCACACTATGCTTGCTGTCTTTCCAGAGACCAGTATTGTCAGGTCATCAGCATAACCTACTGTATAGAAGTGATTGTTATTTAATTTGCTGATGAGTTCATTAATGACCATATTTCACAGGAGAGGTGAGAGAACCCCACCCTGCGGGCAGCCTTTCTTAATTTGGATTGGTTGAGATTCACCAGCAATCTTTATTATTCGTGTACTGAGCATGTAAACTATCCAGTCGATCAGTGCCGGTTCAACTTTGTGTCTACCGAGTGCACCTTTTATGCTGGAGAAGTTCGTTCGGTCAAAAGCACCTTCTATATCTATGAAGGAACCTAGACATATTTCTTTGTTTTGGATGGCCTCTTCAATCTTTGTAATTACCTTATGAAGGGCCGATTCTGTTGATTTGCCTAGACTGTAGGCGTGTTGCTTGTCGTGTAGTGGTAAGTTCATTAGCGCCGACCCCCTTAATTCCCTTTCACACATCCTCTCCATCGTCTTTAGGAGAAAGGATGTGAGGCTAATGGGCCTGTAGGATTTAGGGTCAGTGTAGTCGCTCTTACCTGGTTTGGGTATGAATGTAACTTTCACTTCCCTCCATCCCCTAGGAACATATTTAAGAGCAAGACAGGCTCGCATTATGGCAGCAAGTCTGACTATTAGGGCTTTACCCCCCCACTGTAGGAGTGCCGGGAATATGCCGTCTGGTCCTGCCGCCTTATAGGGGAGGAAACTGTGAATGGCCCAATGGATTTTGTCCATCGTTACCACTCTCTGTGCTAAATTCCAGTCTTCTGCTGTTGATGTCAGTATGTCGTCATGCCGGTTTGCCTCCTGGGTTACGCAGCAACCTGGGAAGTGCGTTTCAATTAGGATGCGTTGGGCTTCATCCGGCGATGTTGAGTAGCTACCGTCGGGTTTCTTTAGAGACATGGATCCCGACGTGTTCTGTTTAGCTAGAATATTCCTAATCCTATTTGCTTGTTTGCAGGTTTCTATGTTGCCACAGAATTTACGCCACCCAATCGAGCGTCGATACCTGATACATTTTTTGTATTCAGACTTAGCTTTCTTATATAATAGCCAGTCTTCATCCATTGAGGTATTCATGGCCCTATTTAGAGCTTTTCTTACCTTCTTACGTTTTCTATCGAGTTCTTTACCCCACCACGGTTGTTTTACCTCGGCATGTCTTGGTGGAGTGATTTCTGGACATGATTCATGGTAGCTGTCTATCATGGCCTTAGTAACAGCTGCTACCTGTTCTTCTAGGAGCGACTGATCTGCTATAGTATTTATCCCCTCAAAATCCGCTAGCAAAGACGTCAGCCTATTTAGGTATTTTGTTTTATCTGTCTTGCGGGGATTTCTCCATGGTGGTGTAGAGGGGATATCGACCTGTAGTGCGAAGCAGATCCATCTATGGTCTGAGCATGAGGCCTCTCTCGACACATGCCATCCCGTAATTAGTTTGGCTGCTCCTTCTGTTGCAAGTGTGAGGTCGATTATAGTGCGACAGCGTTTGTTTATGAAAGTAGGTTCAGAACCTATGTTTAAAATGGTTAGGTTAGTACTAAATAAATATTCAACTAAAACTTTACCTCGTTCATTTGGTTTTTCCATTCCCCAAAAGGGGATGATGTGCGTTGGAGTCCGTCCCGATCACAACCTCTAGTCCGGTCCTCTCGCAGAAGTTCACCAGCCTGCTGAGGTCATGAGGGGGAGGAGTGTCTTCCTCCGGCATGTAGACCAAGGCGACGATTAATCTACTCTCCTGTGTGTACTGTATTGCTACGGCATACATGTCTCTAGAACAGAAATCTGTTAAAGGTTGTGCACAGATATCTTTAGTAGTGTAAATACACGCTCTAGGCTTGTCGTGTTCAGAGCTGTAGAATAACTTACCTTTTAGGTTGTTTAGGCCTTTAATTTTACCAGCCCCAACCCATAGCTCCTGGATTAAGGCTATGGCAGTCCTTTGAACCTCCATCCACTTGCGTAATTGAGCCGACGCAGTTTCGCTGTGGTGGAGGTTGGCCTGCACTAGGCTAGTTTTGGACGAAGGGCACGCCATCATTGATCGCGTCCTCCCCGTCCCCGCCCAAAAATAGGCCTGCCAGAAGATCTCGGGTTTCATCGTCAGCCACCGAGTCGGAGGTGGTCGGCAAATTGCAGTCCTCCTCGTCACTCAGTGAGCTGCCGCTGAGCCCAATCTCCACTGGGGGCTTCGGCTCAATTGTGCAGGCCGTTTCTTCACTGGACTTGGCCTCCAGTGATTCCGCTGTACCGGTAACTATGGCTCCGGTATCCATAACTTCCGGGTTGTTTTCTACCTCTTTGCTCGGTGGAGTATCAAGGAATTTGCCTCCACGACCCTGGAATTTTACGTATGCGGCCCCGCATACACATGCGAGACGGCGTCCGGCCTTCATCAGGGTCGGGATATGATCCTCCGGCACCGAAACAACGAGGAACCACCCGTCCGTCTGCTTATCTGCCTTGAGTAACAGCCAGTCCCTGATGTTAACCCAGCGGTTCTGGTACGCCAACACGCGACCAATGTCGCGTGAGTCTTTCCAGGCCCCCTGGGCATCAGGGATAAGGATACCACATTTGACTCTTTGTGGTATCTCTGACTGTTTCTTTATTGTCAGCAAGGTGCTGGATTTAAGGTCGAGGGTAGCAATGTTCCCCTTCAACCAGTCCAGAGCCTTCTGATCGTCGCACCACAGTTTCAGGACACCTTCCGTATAAACGGGTTTGCCCCTAAAAACTGGGCCCGACGCATCAGGGTCCTGGCTACTCCAGGCCTCGCTGATCATCTTCCTCTGTATTGCTACGAGGATGTCGTCTGCTACTTCCTTCGTAATGTGACCTGAACGCGCACACGTTAAGGCCACACCCAAATCTGCTTTAGCAGCGGAAGCGTAGCTCGTTCTTGCAGTCTTTGGTTGCTGTTCGAGTCGCACTTTTTTGTGTTCACCTCTAGGCGAGGTGGACTCTTCCAGCATCCTTTTGGCTGCTCTTTCCTTCTTCCCAGGACGCTTGGCCGCTCGCTGCTTCCTGGCGGATATCCTAGAGCTGGTTCCCGCGTCCGCGACTTCCACTTGGGCTGGATTTTTATCCTTCCCAGCTTCAGCGCGGCTACTGGTTCCAGCGCCAAGCACCCCAGTCGCAGTAGCTTGCCCAGCCTCCTTGGTTTTGGTATCTGAAGCAGCCAATGCGGCTCGTTCTCTACGGCCTTTTTCCCGCTGCTTCTTGTTCTTCTTTTTGGCCTTTCCACTACTGCCTGCAGGGATAGACCCTCCTGATGGTCCGTCAGGTCGGCAAGTCACCTTTTTGGGTGCCTTGCCTTTCCCCTTACGGCTCACCACTTGCCAGGCAGCAGAGAAAAGGTCGTCAGTCCGTAGTGGCTCCGCAGTTTTATCACTTGCGGGCTCTTGTTTCTTTTTCTCTTCCAGCTCCTTGGAACTGGTTTTGGAAACGTTCAGCGAGGTTATCCCTTTGGTGGGGGCACCTACGCTGGACGGTACTGTCCGTGGAACCGTCGGTTTAGTGACGGTTCCCTTTTGTTCTTTGGTGTCTCTGGTAAGCACCTCTGACACCTCTCCCTCTTTCTTATTGGGCCTTAAATTGTCCATAATTTGTGTTTTTTTTTTTTAAATTCATCCCCCCGGCTTCCCACCCTCCATGGAGCCCGCACCTTTGGGAACGCCCTACTTTAGAAGCAAAAGGAATTTCAGGCGTTAGGATTACCGGGAGAATATAGGGACGCGAAGTTGGCTCACAGCGCGACATCGGGAGCTCGATCCAGCTGGTAGATGGGGCTGACAAGGCCCATCCCCACCACCCGAATAAACTGTCACTTGCTCCGTCAGCATGGCCTTTACCACCACCCAGCCCCCTTTTCAGGAAGACTAGGCAGCCCCCACATCCCTCGCCTGCGACCCTCTGACGGGGCGCTTGGCCATTTCCCTATCTGTGGTTAGCAGATAGGGCCACCGTTTAGCTTGAAATCCGGACCAAAGAGGGCGTGTTGCCTCTCGCCACTATATACCCCAGCGACGATCGGCTCAACCCTCCAGGACTCCTTCATCCCCGCGTACGGCGCTCGACTGCGCAGGTCCTAGCGCAGGTGGGTGTGTTAGTCCACCGGATACACCCACTCTCTCCGGCGGATTCGTCCCCTCCTCCTTTCTCATCCGGGCTTGGGACCGGCAACGGCGGAGTTAAAATACACTTAACACCTTATATTGCTATTGGTTGTTAAATTTAATTTTGATATAATAAAATGAAGTCGTTTTATTTTTATGTACTAATATATTCAGCAGCATCAGTCAACGGTTCATGACGTCTTTTACTGCCTTCGTTAATCCGCCTGACAAGAATGACGATAAAGCCCTGCAAGGAAAAACCCATGACCGGCTGTAGGCTTTAAGGCTGATGGAAGAATAGTTTTTATATAATTCTCTATCTATCTCGTCTAAGCTCATAAAGAGCTCAATGATCGAAAGAGCTGTGAGACGTTCTGAAGTCTTATTGTAATAAACGTCGCCAGTTTGAGTGTTATAAATTTGATACAAAGCACTTATATTATGAAAGTTACTCAGAAAGTCGTGGATTCGAATTCGCCATGCGACTTCTGTTGTGAACCTAATAATACGCGCATTTTTAAGCTTACTTAGACTAGTTAACGGGATTATTAGTAATGTCAATAGCGTTACTAGTATTATTTTTAAATAAAAAAAATATACCGCCATCTATCTTAGGTCATATCTTCCGTGCGTTTCGAGATAGTAATGGGTTCTCAAATATATTTTAGAATAGAATAATTTTTAATTTTCTACCTACTTCAAAAAGGAGCCGGTACTCAATTCGACTGTATGTTTTTTTTTATTTGTTACCTCAAACTTTTTACTGGGTGAACCGATTTCGATGATTTTTTTATTTGAAAAGAAATTTAATATTAAATTATTAGGGCAATATAGATTACAAGAATACTTATTGAAAGTAATTTAAGCTTTACCACTGGTTCATATAATCCTCTATCCTAGTAAAAACCAGCAAGAAACCCGACGGTACTTTTTTTATAGGATAGGATGACAAACGAGCACATAGTCCACCTGATGGTAAGTGGTTGCTGTGACCCATAGACTACATTTATCCTCAATAAAGAATCAAAATCTCAATCAAAATCAAAAGTCACTGATAAAAGACGCAAAGATAAAGTCATTGAAACTAACATTAGAATAAGGCATCCTTTCATGCATAGATTTTTTACATTCCTTGGCCCTTTTCTGTATAATCAAATCAATGCAATTTTGTACATGTATCCATTAAAAATGGCAGATTGTAAAAATGTAACTCGGACATGGTTACAAAGTTTGTCATACGATGATACGGAAAAATTGCTGATTGTTTTAAGCTAATTAAAATCTTAAGTAAATTAATGATAATATATTTTACCGAATTAACCGTAATTAGTTGGTAAGTTACTCACTTTATATAAGAAACAGTAAATATTTGTAAATGTATCTATTAGCACATACATCTGTGATACAAGTTTATCCTAGTTCAGGTGCCTGTTATTGTAGACTTTTAAATTAAGACATTATTTGAATTAATTGTACAGTTTCTTGAAATAAATTATTATTATTATTAAATTATTTTAAAAAATGCAGATGCGTAGTCACCCGTGAGGACTAAGATGGAATGCCTCTTTTCCAGTAAAAGGGGTCTCCGGTTCTCTACACTCACCATACGAAACACAGCAGTGTCAAGCTGCCATTTTACGCTGATATTCTGTGAGAGCGTGATCCTTCCCTGGTCGAGTCGACCCATTCGTGCTACAACTATATTACTAATACAGCTGCAGCATGGCCCTACCACATATAAAAATTAATATTTTAAACAATTATTATGAAAACATTTTTAGAAACAGCATGTTAGCGATTACCTAATTTCCAGGGCTTATTATCAATCATGTACTCTGTAGTAGTATAACAACCCTTACTAAACAATATATGCTAAATAATTTTTTTAATTATTTTACTTCTTTATTAACACACATAAGTTCTTTACCGGAAATGGGTCTCCGCCGTTGCAGGGAGGATCTCCCTTATCATCATGCTTGGCAGGCGGGTTTACGATCGCAGTACCAGACGTCTCGCACCTTTGAAACTGCTGCCCGTCGAGCACTATACGCCTGGTGTAAACGAGATGGTTATTGCACGATCTATCGTAATTTTTCTAGCATTTTTATCATAGTCTGCTTTTACGACATCCACGAGATGAAGATCATAAACACACAACCTATATTATAGTAACTTAAATAGTTTTAATTTGTTTCTAGGAATACATACATAGAGTTGGCAGAACAGCTCGAGGTTTAGGCGCAGCGGGGCATGCGGTATTGTTATTGAGGCCGGAAGAAAAAGAATTTATAGATTATTTAAAAGAATCGAAAATCTACTTAGACAAGTACGAATTCTGGAACAAATTGAGCAATCTACAGAAAAAGGTACAAATTACAAACAAAACATTATTTCGGTAACATATATACATATATATACATATAGCTAATACAATTTTAAGTTTTTGGAGCCTCCTTTTAGGCAAATGATTTTGCTTAATTAACAATACACCTGTAAAACATAACAAGTGCACACTACCCATTACCCAAATATTCAAACGCTGCTCAATTTTAAGATGTTGTTAAGTCTCGTGCTGTCTCTATCACTTTATGCCAAAATGACTGTGACACCACAGACTTAACATCTTAAAAATGAGTAGCGTTTGTGTGTTTGGCCATCAGTCGTCCTTACTCTCCGCGATCACATCGGATGTAGGTTGGGTAGAGTGTGGATGTGAGACACAATAACAATGCAACTAAACCCAAAATCCAACAATTTGTATTTTTGCACATTGATGGTATATTTTGATTAATATGCAAAAATAGAAATTGTTGGATTTTTAGTGCAATTTTAAGAGCTGATTTATTACTTGGTCGGCGGTGAGGAAAATCATCACGAGGAAAGCCACCAACACGCAAGGAAGCTTCGCGGCGCAATTATTCGTAACCCTCTCAGAAATAAAAGGAAGGACTTTATTATATAATCTGCAATGGTTTCCTTTTTACATAATTTGATTTATAATTAACTAGCGACCCGCCCCGGCCTAGCCTGGGTAGGATCTATGAATGCAGCAGCGTTATTTTATTTAGATTTAGGGTAGTCAGATTTCTTATTTTTATTTTTTTGAATACAAGTTTTCGGATAAAATATAGTTCGTGAAGTTTCATTACAATCGGTTCAGCCATTCCGTAGTTGTTTGTTCATGTCTTATTGGTATGCAAATAATCAGCTCAATATAAGGTAGTATTTTCGATATTACTCATGGAGACTTCAATTTTATTTATATGTAGATATAGATAAAATAGTACTATCACTGGAGGTCTATCTTTTACCCAGCACATATATGTAGCTAAATATTCGTGGATACTTTGTCACTACGTGCGAAGTCGCAAGCATAACGCTTCGCTGTCGGTATAACTCTCCCACATCAAAGCGTCTTATCGCGATGAACTTCGCTTGTGTGTGCGGCCACACTTTAGTCGGCCCACGAAATCGTGCGTAGCGGACGTGTTGAAATAAATTAGGGTTTGCGACGTATTTTCGACATGGATTGGAGTAATGAGAAGATTTTAGAATTTATTAGTAATTACGAGTCTAAGCTGACATAATAATAAAAACATATTATTCGCTGCCATTTCGCTTGCTGTAAATTTCACAGTACGCGAGCAACCCGGGTTCGATCCCTGCCGGCACCAATTAAATTGTTAATTGCAATTCTAAGTGCTGATTTACTACATGCTCGGCGGTGAAGGAAAATATCGCGAGGAAACCTGCATTACTGAGAAATAAGAAAAAAAGACATGTGAAGTTTGACAACACGCATTGGGGCATCGCGGCGGACATTTCCTTGCGCTAAAACCTTCTCAGAAATGAGAGGTCTGTGCCCAGCAGTGGGACGTATATAGGCTGTTGCTTTTGTTCGCTGCCACATAATATATAGAGACCGCGACGTCCATTTTGTGTTTAGCGTGATAAATTTTACGACGCGTAATGTGGCCAGACACATTTGCCGTAGGCCGATGCGAAGTTTTATCACGTTGTGATCGGTCTAGGCATTAGGATTGATAAAGATGTGAATGAAATAATAATGTGGCATATGTTTCGGTATTCCAATTTTTTTGTTGCGTTTTTTTTTATATATTTTTCAAAATGCCTTTTACAACGTTGTAAAAAATGTATATAATACAATTCCACGCAAATTGAAATCCATTAGGATTAATAAGTAATAGTTGCTAAGTTGCGTTTGAGTCATAGACGTAACTAAATATATTTCCCTTACAGCTGGATGCAGCACATGAAGATCCTGAATTCAAGAAAGTAGCTGAAGAAGCGTTTGAAGGTTATATTAGAGCTTTTGAAGTAAAGAAGTTAAAGCATATTTTCAATTTGTTAACAATGGACATGGATTCCGTCGCAAAATCATTTGGTTTGAAAGGAAAACCTGATGTTGATATACGTAAGTAGTTAAATAAACAATCAATGTTTAATTATAATGTCCTTTTGGTCTGTTGACCACGGTGATATCTAATTACATGAATATCGTTCAATTCAGCTAGATATATAGAAAAATATGCGCGATGTAGAAAATAAGGTAACTATCGCAGTCTGTGCGGTCGGCATCAATAAATCAAAGAAAATTTGAACTGTCGGATACATGAACATAACTACTACCTGCGGGTAAAAAAATTGGATTGAAAATGGCATCTCCTCTATTTACCTCGCATACTGTCGTTATCTATACTCACATGTACTCGTACATGCTATAACTTCAGTCCGACTTGCAATTGGCATCAATGATAATAAAATGCCATAAACTACAAAAAAGAATCATCAAGGTCGGTTCACCCAGTAAAAAGTTCTGAGGTAAATATAAAATAAAATAAATAAATACAGTCGAATTGAGAATCTTCTCCTTTTTTGAAGTCGGTTGAAAAAGAAGGTGAGTACCTAATTCATCTAGTAGCTATCCGGTTGTTTATAATTAATGATTCGAACAGATTATGTACCAAAAAATAATAAATCAAAAATATTGTGTTAGCAAATCAATGTTCGTTTTTTCAAGTGTTGTCCGTTTTTAGGGTTCCGTACCTAGTGTGTGTCCCCGTATCGTACCGTGTAACGGGCAATAACACGGGCATTTGCTATAGTTGTGACGCTTGGCAAGCGAGTTGGCAACCGCAGTTTTTTCTGCCGACTTCCAAAAAGGAGACGGTACTCAATTCGACTGAACGTTTTTTTTTATGTGTGTTACCTCATAACTTTTTACTGGGTGAATCGATTTCGATGATTCTTTTTTATATGAAAGCTTATACTTCTCGTGTGGTCCCATATGAATTTGATCAAGGTCAGACCAATAGTTTTTGAGATATTCTTAATAACTTATATTGAAGTCGGCTGTCCAAAATTTTTAATTTTAAATTATAAATATTATTTCAGTTTAGTACGACTAAATAACCAAATAAGATAACCTCCTTTCATGAAAAAAAAAACTTAAAATTATAAAGTCCAAAATTAAAAATGTCCGGTGTTGGTTTTAACATAGCTGCATTATTATGACTATAGAATTGAAGCGGAGATGTTTGAATTCATGAATGATTGGCGATAAAGAAACAAATGTTTTAATTCTCACAACAAAGGTTTTGGATGACGGTGAATTATTGTATTTTATTTGTCTACTGACTTCGAAAAGGAAACGGTATTCAATTCGACTGTATGTTTTTTATGTGTGTTACCTCATAACTTTTTTCTGGGTGAACCGATTTCGATGATTCTTTTTTCATTTGAAAGCTGATACTTCTTTTGTGGTCCCATATACATCTGATCTAGATCTGATCAGTAGTTTTTGCGTTATCCTTAATAATACATATTTAATTGACTTCGACTACATCGACGATGTTCTCATTTTATTTATAATGAAGTCGGTTGTACAAAATTTTTAATTTTAAATTATTAAAATTTATGGTCGTTATTAACAAGACGCTGCTGCCCATCTCCTGATTTGTTGATGATAATATGGGGTAGTGGATATTGTTAGACCACCACTACCCGGCGGAGTGCCAAAGAGATAGAGTCTATCTATCTCTTTGTTGCGAGGCTGTATTAACTTTTTAATCATTAGTAACTATAAATAATAATAATTATAATAATGTTTACTTTATTTGCTCTCACAAGTTTACATTGCCTTGTAATAATATTGGAGGTATAACCATTTTAATTTGTGAGAGCCTGGTGTTAGTACTAGGAAAGACCTGTATGACTAATCACCAGACTCCCGTCCCTTAATGTAACATTTATCAACATACCTTTAACTTTAGAACACTTCGTGCGATAATATACATAGGCTGCACTAAAAGTATCGGGAATGGAATATTTCCACTGTTTCTGTCATATTAAAATCTTTTTAATTGAAAACTCCTTGGTTTTAAAAATCGAATACCATTTATTTATTTAAAAAAGATTCTAGGTCTTGTCACAAGGTTTTGTCAAACTTGTTTAGTCGGTGAGAAAATGAAATTGACTCGAGAAAATTCAAGAGCGATGATTTATTATGACTTTCGAAGTGGTTTAACACAAAAACAGTGTGTTGACCGGATGATTTCTGCATTTGGTGATGAATCCCCATCCTAAACCACAATTTATCGTTGGTTTGCTGAATTTCAACGTGGACGTGTCAAGCTCAGTGATGATCCCCGTCAAGGTCGTCCAAAAACTGCAGTCACCCAAGAAAACGTTGATGCTGTGCGTAAGCTGATTGAGGAAGATCGACATGTGGCATACCGCGAAATTCAGGCAACTTTAGACATTGGCATTAGTCAAATACAAATAATCTTGCATGAACAATTAGGTGTAAAAAAGTTGTTTTCCCGATGGATACCGCATTCGCTCTGTGAAGAGCAAAAAGCGGTTCGCGTTACTTGGTGCGTCAGAACTCTCGAAAGATTCCACGCAGGATCCTCAAATGCAGTATACAACATCGTATCAGGTGACGAATCCTGGATATACGCGTACGAACCCGAAACAAAAAACCAGTCACTAGTTTGGGTGTTCGAAAATGAGTTAAAGCCAACAAAAATTGTTCGTTCACGGAGTGTTCCAAAAAAAATGGTGGCCACGTTTGTCTCCAAAACCGGCCATGTAACGACTATTCCTCTTGAGGGACAAAGAACGGTTAATGCAGAATGGTATGCTAGCATTTATTTGCCACAGGTCGTTTCTGAACTCCGTAAAGAGAACTGCAACCGTCGCATCATCCTCCATTACCACAATGCGAGTTCTCACACCGCATACAGAACAAAAGAGTTTTTAGAGCAAGAAAACATAGAATTATTAGACCATCCGCCGTACAGCCTCGACCTAAATTCCGTGGACAGAGATTTTCATCACCTGAAGAAGCTGTGACGCCTACAAAACGGCCATTTTGGAGACCCCAACTTCCGAATGGAATGGTTGCTTCAATGATTGGTTCCATCGTATGGAAAAATGTGTCAAATTTCGCGGAGAATACTTCGAAAAGCAATAAATACATTTTTAAATAGTAATGTTGTGTCACTTCCTTGATTCCCGAAATTTTCAGTGCCGCCCTCGTACAAATAGAAAATGTATTTATTTAACCAAAAACATTACATAATTAAACAATACACTGATTTCTAAGCTCTAGGCTTGTATCGCAGGAACCAAGAACATTGACTGACACCGTTTACCCGATAAATACATAGGACTCCGATTAAATAAAAATAAAGAAAAAAAATTTTTTTTTATAAATGAATGCATGAAAGAAAAAAAATAGCTAATTTACTAATAATAATAGAGTACTTGCGTGCGTGCGTGCGTGTGCGTGCATGCGCATGCGTGTGTGTGCGTGCGTGTGTGTGCGTGCGTGTGTGTGCGTGCGCGCGTGTGTGTGTGTGTGTGTGTGTGCGCGCGCGTGTGTGTGTGTGTGTGTGGGTAATATGATTTATAATTGCAGTTTCTGTTATTAAACTATACTATAATAGTGACTTTAATGGCAAATTATAAAACTAATAAAATATGTAAGCCCAAGGGGGCTTTATAAGAAACCACAAATAATAAATTTCAAACGTTTTTTTTGTTACTGCTACAACTATACTACTAATATAGCTGAAGCATGGCTCTACCACGTATAAAAATACTTAATCTATACTTAACAAATAACGAAAAGTAGATAAACAGTCATAATATTTTATTTAACAATATCACAGTCTATGCAAAAAATATTTAAACTTCACAGGATCAAAAACGATATTAAGTGTAATTTTAAAAAGAAGTTAGGATTTCGTTTTAGAAAATGCCGAAAAATAGGACGGTTTTACTGGAACGAAGTTATATTAAAGTTTGGAGAATGAAATATCTTCGTCGAATCCGTAGCAATATCGCTTTAGGTGCTAATTTAAAAAATATATTTTTGGTTGGTATCTAAATGTTGGCAATCGAAAATGGATAAAGGGGGTCCGCAAAAACGACAGTCCAGGTCAGATGTGGATTTTTGTGCATGCAGAATGTGAAATGCAGTTCAGAAAATGGATTTGTGAAGGGTGCCGAGTTGATTTTTAAGGTCAAATCCAAAAAAGGCGATTACTATGATGAAATGAATGGGCAAATTTTCACCAAATATATTGAGGAAAAATTAATTCCAAATATCCCCCTAAACAGTATCGTGGTGTTGGATAACAGGCCATATCACAGCATGCAAATAAATAAACCTCCATCTCTCATCCAGTAGCAAACCGAAATGAGATACAAAATTGGTTACGCCAGAGTGGTATACATTATGACGACTCATGGTCAAAATATTAGCTTTTAGAATAAGTAAAAAAAACACAACCTAGAGTAAGATTACGCTATAGATAAATAACTAGCTAACAACGGCCATGAAACGTTAAGATTACCCCATACAACTGTGATCTATACCCAATAGAATATGTGTGGAATCTGGTATAACAAAGAATGGCCGAAAAGAACGTCGATCAGTTGGAAAAAAAATAGAACTGTTAACGCGTGGAACAATCGTCTCAATTACAGCCGGGTATTGGCGAAAAGTAGTATCACATAAAAATATTGTAAAAAGATTATTGGACGAGGGAAGTAACGAATGAAAATTACATTGAAGATTTAATAATGAATGTTAGTCTGAACAGCGATTGTGAAAGCGATAGTGGCTCCGATTCTGACAATGATCAGTGTTCTCAGACGATTTTGGTGAAGGTTCATCAAGTAGCAGAATTTAATTATCAAAGATTATTATATGTAAAAATTAAATGTCTATAGAGTTCTTGCCTGTCTTCCTATTTGAAATAATTTTTTTCACTTATTTAAATTAATATAAACTTACTTTAAGAAATACAGTTTTATTTAATAGACTTCGTGATTATTTTACTAATCTATATTCATAAATAAATCAATTTTATCCAGACGTAGTCAGGGCGCGGGTCGCTAGTCATGAATGTTATTTTAAAATTAATGTCTACTTGCGTATAAAATTCTATTCAAATATTTTCTCATTAATTGGAAATTTCCAACTATAACGTAACGTAGCAAATAATATAACGTTTTGATTAACATAATAACTAACAGTATTGTGCATGTTGACGGTACGGGCTCGATGAGCCGCCATTTCTAATCCCATTCTTTATCCGTACGGACCGATGCATCTCAGACTCGGCATTTTGCTGCAAGGGAATACGACGCTGATATTACACCGGTGTCCTATTTAAAACTGAAGCGCAGTAGCCAAACATAAGTTTTGTCTACGAAATGTATTATAGGGAACACTCAAAATTCAAAAATATAATAAAATAACAATGACTTCATTTACTTAAAATTATAAAACTTTTACTATTTTTGTCCCCAGGTGTTGGATTCAGTAAGAAACATAGACCAAGAAAGAGAATAGCTGCTTTGCTTGCTGCAACTGGTTCAATCGAAGCGACAAAACATTTGAAAATTTAAAGTTGTAAAAATTTTATTTAAATATAAATGATGCTGACAAAGAGTCATCGATTTCAAAATTCCTTCCATTCATTCATTCCATTGATTCATTTCAAGAATTATTCCATATAATCCTCTTTATGACCAATTAATGCTAAAGAATATCGGATTTCGTTTTAGTTTTTCATATATTATAATATACAAACAGTGCATATTTACATTATAAATTTTTGTTTACATACCCGTATGCTTGCTACAACTTGTGGTTCAAATTTTCTCCTTTCATGTTTTCGACTATGGAGCATTTACTGAATTTTGGTTTGTAATGAAAATTTTAAAGTGACCTATGTTGCTTTTTGGTACCATGATTTATTATAAAATAAATGCTCGCGCAAATATATACAACAATTTATAGTTAAATTCTTAAAATTATAATATAACCTTAGAGTATATATAAGCAAGCTACGGAGTAAGCATCGGTATGAACCAATAAGCAAAAAAAATATTATTCTTATTTTTCTGTCATTGGTATGAACTGTCTCGAAATTGGAGGGCCAATTAGTCACGAAATGACACGCACTAATTTTTTCTCTCGCCGGGATTTACTTAAATTTTAAGTTACCATGGTGAAATTTGCAGTAACAATCTCTAAAAACGATTCATGGATGCAAATTCAGAATAATAATATTTCTTTACATCGGTAAGTAATATTTTGATAAAAAATACTGATTTTAACCAAATTAATCAGGGTGTCAAAGGTGTTGCGAGGCGTGCGGGCGTGCGACCCGGTCGACACAGTACATGCTACCGCGGCCCTCGCTTCATGCTTTCTTTGAATTATAGCTTGTGTTGTACCACGTTGTACATTAATATTTTGTAACAACATGATTTCTGTCGTAATAATAAACATAGCTACGTATAGTAATAGAAATTAAGATTGTTTATAGGTTTTCTTATATTTACGCGAAGACTACATATTAAAAGAAACTAATTTTTACGGATGATATCGCGTTTAATTTTAACTCAATTTTAAGCCCCCCCGTGACCATGGGTGCTGTAAACCACCCGAAACGTCGGGAATTAAAAAAGTTAAAATTAAACGCGATATAATCCGTAAAAAATTAGTTTCATTTAATTGTTTATAGGTAATACTAATCCATATATTTCGACATCTATACAAATAAATAAAATTGAAGTGTCTGTTTGTAATGTTAAAATAACAGCTTTTTAGTAAATGCATATGAATGTATATAAGGTACTTATAACAAAAACACAATTTTTGAAATTTTTGTCTGTCTGTCTGTTTGTTCCGGCTAATCTCCGCAACGGCTGGACCGTTTCGACGGAACTTTCACTGGCAGATAGCTGATGTTCTAAGGAGTAACTTAGGCTACTTATATTTGAGATAAAGAATTAGGGTTCTGAGAAATATAATTAAAACCCTAAATTACACGCAGGCGAAGTCGCGGAGAACAGCTAGCTTAAAATAAAACTTGAATAGCGTTGTTATATAGGTATATAATAAAGTTAAATACAGTTATATACTTATCTAATTTCAGATTTCCGGAATGCCTTGAATGGCAAATAAATGGGTGGTAGCAATAAAAAAAGCTAAACTGGGATACTGGGCCCAACATCAGGAGTTTCGTTTGTTCCATCTATTTTAGTGCTTCGTCCATTTTTGAAACCAAGGTTGGACTGTGCTAGCTGTCTACAATACCAGAGCTTAAATTTAAAGTAAGATTTCGCTTATTTTTGAGCGATTAACAAAAATAGCTTCGGCAGTTATGTAGGTACCTATGTCCTATTGTGTGTATGTCCGCAATTTTATAAGTTACCGACAATTATTATGTAACTAGCTGTGCCCGCGGCGTAGCTCGCGAATAAAGGTTTTACTTAAAGAATTGGACGTTTAGGGTAAGAGAATATTAAACGATTTATATCATTACTGTATGAATAAGTGGTAACAAAATAAATCGATATGCTCAAAGTTCTAAGTCGTTTATGATAGAGCTTCTGTGTAAACGACGATAGAAGTAGACTTAGCCGGGGCGTACAGAAAAAGGTTACGGGGACTACTAACGCGGGAAAAAGCAACATAGAGTTGGCCATATGCAAAACAATCAGTACTGAGGTCCACTCCTGCAACGCGCAAAGTTTGACCTTGCGCTTTATTTACGATCGTCGCATAACACACGCTGAGTGGGAAACACACTTAAAATAGGGATGCTAGATGATCATCGATGTTAAAAATTAAAACTTCGATGTTTTAACATCGATGTTGACATATGTCAAACATCGAAACATCGACGTCAATGAACCCATAATCGATAATTGGGAACTTGCAAACAATGCGAACTCGCGAAATCAATATCAACTAAATCTTGCATAAGCTCTGAAGATTAAAAATTTTGAATAATTCAGAATTTCTGAACGCATCGTTAACCTAAAAAAATGTCAGTATGGTGAGTCAAACTTAATTGTCAATTGTCTCCTGTAATGTCACAATGGTCACTGCTTTCGCTTTATTTTGTTGTGTCGTTGTCGGTTGTCGCATAATAACTATTCTACGTAAATTGATATTCAAGTTAATAGTTACTTTTCCCTTGCTGTGTATACCCACATAATTTTGAAACAATGTGTAAGTATCTACACGTATACAAAAACCATCGATAATGGTCAACATCGATGTTTTGAGTAGCCTAAACATCGAACATCGATGTTGAGCTATCGATGCCAACATCGATGTCATCATCGATGTTATTATCCCTATCTTAAAACTGAAGCCTGAGCCGTGGTAGCTCAGATGGTTAGCGCTCGCTGTAAGCTTCACAGTACTCGAGCAACCCGGGTTCGATCCCTGCCGACACCAATGAAATTGTTAATTGCAATTTTAAGTGCTGAGTTACCACGTGCTCGGCAGTGAAGGAAAACATCGTGAGGAAACATGCATGTTTGAGAAATAAATAAAAATATTTCGATGACATTTGAAGTTCGCCAACACGTATTGGGGCAGCGCGGTGGACATTTCCTTGCCCTAAAACCCTCTCAGAAATGAGAGGAGGCCTGTGCCCAGCAGTGGGACGTAAAGAGGCTGGAACTTTACTTTACTTAAAACTGAAAGGAAAGTTATTTGGTATTTGAGGGATTCTGGGTATAAAACAATATCACTATCACGACATTTATTGCAATTTTGCTACTTTTAGTCGAGTTTTGTTGAATAATTTAATTTAATATATCAATATTGTTTCTGGATACGATTCACCTGCGAAAAATCTTAACACCGCAATTCAGAAAAGGTTGTAATTTGTACAACGCCATCTATTACGTTCTTTGTGAGAAAACATCCTTTTTTAATTTAAGGAAAACATATTTTTACTGTGTTTTAAGTACTATAATAGAACGATACGAAATATATTATAATAGAACGTTTTTTTTACACATGAATCTTTTTATTACTATTTCTGAGATTTTGTGGCGCCATTAAACAGATTCGAACCTACATTTCAAAATAATAATCATAAATTTCGATAGAATTAACCAATTTCAATAAAACAAAGATTAAATGAACTTGATAATACGCTTTATGATTTTCTTAAGGATTTCATTGAAAAAAAGATGTTTACTCAAAACGTCATACGTCCATAAACAAACAGACAGACCGTCAGATAGTACAATTCTAAAAATTATAAAAATGTACTTATTTAATGATTTACAGTCCCCATAATGATTTAAGTCACAAATTAATATACTATACAATATTCAGAAACAGACAAAATGTTATTACCATTTTTATTATATGTTTACATTTAAAGAGAGATGGCACTGTTAACATCAATTCTAAAAATAAGAGATTAATTGACACGATTGATACAATAAAAAACACAAATGAACTTATAAATCAGTGCCTGCATAGTAAGCAAAAAAGAAAGTTTGATCCTCGCCGAAAAACGAAATTGTTAATAGCTCTTAAAATTTGATTTACCACATAGAGTAGGTACTCGGCGGTAAAAAAATAAAAAATAAATGAGATTGTCAACACGCAGTAGGGCAGCGTGTCGTTAATATAAAGGTTAGAAGCAAATATGAAACTCATCTACAGCAAAAAAAATTTAACCTGCCTTTTTGTATCACATTTATGCCACACCACCATCTATCGATGAAATTGGTTAACTATTGAACTTTAATTTAGTTTAGATAATAAGGTTAATATATTTTGTATATATTTATTACGTTCTTTATGTAATACTTTTGTTTACTCCGTTTAAGATATAATTATATCATTATAGAACATTATTTTACATCATTTAATTATGATTTATAATATGATATTAATTTTAAAATGTACTTGATGACTCATCCAACGCCACTATTGAACTAATTCGTACCTATACTTAGTACCCATACTTCAGAATATTTGTCATAACTTTTGATGGAATTAACCAATTTTAATGAAATAAAGACTAAATGTAACCTGAATATACACTTAATAATTTCCTTAACTATTCTTATGATATAAATTAGTACTTTATACGTGATACGTTAACAAACAAACAGACAGACAGACAGACAGACAGACAGAAAAATTTAAAAATAGTAGAAATGTATTTAATTACTTATTTTTAGTACCTCTCAATCACTTTTATTACAAAAATATAAAATGTACAGACATCTGCTATTTACATTTTTATTATATGTATAGATAAGTTAATTTACACATCGTTTTATAAATTCCTGTTTTATTGATCTGCTAAAACGCACCTTATAGTGTTAGGTGTTAGTGCTCACACGCAGTACACCGATAACCGCAATGCGGCTAGCCGTCCGCCTGACCGTAGGATGCGATTGCGAATGCGGCCAACCGAATTGCGGTCATATTTATTCATTTCTAAGATGGACGTTGGAAGAAGTTTCAGCTATTTACTACATTTACACACGTTACGTAAAGAAGAAAAAACAAAGAAAGATTTCGATGATACATTTTTCGGTATCCATCATAAACGTACCACGTTCACACAATATCAATTGCGGGAAGCAACAAACTGAGCCGCACAGTGTGAATAAAAGACGTCCACAGTGTGACCATATGTGGCAGGTTCCTGCCAATTTGGCAGGATTGACCTCTTATTTTAGGCTCTGGCATGATCGGTTGACGTTTTATAAAACCTGGCAGTATTGGGGTTTTAAAAATAGATTTCATAATGGCAACTTAAAATGAAGAAATTGGCAACCCTAAATACTTCGCTAGCATGTTGGGGATTTCCCTGCATTTCTCGTATATACCGGTAGGGGTCCAGAAGTAGGTGGGTTCTTAAAAAGCCAAGATTTATCGTAAATTATTTATTTGTCTTACTTCCGCACACGTACAAGTAAGTTTCTGTGAAGGGGATCACTGGCCTGACGTAGGGGCGAAGTCCAAGCGCTGTTCCCTCAGGGATAAACTGCACCTCGAATAGTTTAAATTTTAATTGTAGGTAAGCAAGTTCAACGGTCTTTAGTAGGAGGGTCACGCGCGTTGCGAACTTGAAGCAGTCTCAGGTAGAAATGAAAAGGGAATGGCCCGAACGCGGACTCATCGTCGTGTCCGAATCCTACCGAGTCTTTTAAGAGATCGGTGAGCAAAATGGTTCACTCTGCGCGGATGAAATTAACTAGTCTACGGTTCCGTAGAATAACTATTTTAAATTAACAATATGTAATAATTTATTACTTTTTATTTTTAGATTAGAATATTATATTACTATTACTTATTTAAGATTATATCTATATTATCTATTTAAGATTAATTAATTATAAGTATTTGTAAGGGTGATTTCAGATGCACCGTTACACGTATTATGTTTGTATCACATTCAATAAACAACTTTAAAAAATTTTGTGTATAAAATTTATAATCTTAAAACGAGTTAACACGAGTTGGTTAATATTTCAATCAGTCATAAAAGACACATACTTTAGTTTGGTATCGCATTAGATTTCATGGTGATAACATCTTGTCAATAATATTTCGTGGACGATAGTAATTATAGACGGCGGTGATGAAGCGAAAATATGAAAGAGCGTATAGAGCGAAGTGGGAGTAAGATCTTTTACTTTCATCATGGATCTCCAAAGCTAAAGCTGATCCAGACTGTGTAATTGCAAATTGGCACCCCGGCTGTCCGCTTTAAAGGAGCATGCCACTACTAGTAAACATCAAAAAATATGAGTGGATTCAATATGCGAAAGAATATTCTCTCAAATAAATTTTTTGAGATTTGGTGAGCATGACGATTGTATTGCATTCAAACCAACGAGATATTTTTAATTTTAATAAATATAGCATTAATGTGCATTTTTACTTTTCTTAGTTTAATACAATGGTAAATAAAGTAGGCAGTAGTTAGGCATTTTTTCACTACAGACTTTAGCAGGTATTTAACCAAAGTAAGGCAGGATCTGTATTTTAAAAATGGTCACACTGGATGTCCTGCTAGATGTCATTCGGGCCGCAGCCCTCCCGAGTACCTCCGAGCCAAAGAGTATAATAAGTATACTCTGAGCCACCGGGTCGGATTGCGGGTAGCCGCATCGCAGTGCGCATAGAAATAGATGTTACGGATGTATTTTTGCTTGTGGGTAACAGCATAGTGCGTATGAGAACTTGAGTAGTGTAGGTAGTTGTCTGATTTAACTTCGGATAAGGTGAAATATAACATGATAAACAAATGTCTAATTGAAGATAAAATCATCAGGTCTTAATTACTCTTCTTTTGGTGGAATATGTTTTCGTATATCTTCTTGTTGCAGCATTTCGTTACTACATAGAAATACTTTTAATAATATCTGTTTACAGCACCTCACATCGTACATTATCATCATTACAGTCCCTCATAAGTCCACTGAAGAACATTGGCCTCCCCAAGTAAGGCCATAGAGCACTGCTTTGAGTTACCTGCTGATTGTCAACCATCATGTGAGGGGGCTGTATAATATAATGTATGATAATAATGAAATAACCGTTTTGTAAATCATTAATTCATTATTCGACAAGTTTCACACATCAGTGATCACATTAATTCATTTGTCATTTTGGTATAGTAGTTCAATACAATTCTAATTTTATAATATAATATAGTATTTACAAATATTAAGTATTAGTATTATTTAATACAAATTAAGTTTTAAATAGAAGTAGATAGGAACTTTATAATTTACAAATCTATTATACAGTTGGTAATAATTTCTTACGACAAGCAACATTTTTACTGAAAGATCAGTATATCATCAGCCATAATTCAATAACGCGTAATTAACATTTGTAAATGTTGCGTTCGATGCAAAAGAAGTCAAATTGAGGTTTAGCAATGTTAGATATTCTATGTGTATTTCAATTTAAATAAATGTAATGAGCAATGAAGATCTTGAAAATTTTAGAGGGAGAGTTTGAAAATAGTTTCGTTAGGTCTCAGTAGTGTTGCCTAACAAATGTTTAACTATAAAAAACAGCAGTGAGATAGCGTAACTAGTGGGAATCTTACCGACGAGGAGCTCTCTGCAACTGCATTATTTTCGTTAATAATAATTTGTATCCTAAAGATATAAATATAAAAAAGCAATTCTTCTAACTGATACTGATACATTTACACAATGCAATAAAACCTAAGATCAAAACAAAATTTCTACTAGAGATACACAATCGCACTGCTGATTTTACATGCTCTTAAACATTTTATTGTGTATAAAATGGCATGTAAATAATGAAATGTTGCTAATTTTAATTTAAAGATGACAAAATATTCTTGCTTCACTTTGGAGAGACATTCATTTCATAAATATTATTTTTTGACAATTTCTCATAACAATCCTCATGATTATGTTGATGGTTAACAGCATATATCATTGCATCTATTGTTTCTACAGTTGCTGGACATCGGTTTAGTGAGAAGTATTGGACGCATCGCCACGAAGTCTTCCCATGCGTTGTGGAATGTTTCGTGTACACAAAGTTCATATGCACTAATTGTTTATGTCCTTTTCTGCTGTAAATATATTTATATCGAACAGGCAATGATTGATTTTCGCATGATCCATTCATTACAAGCGAGAGAGCACCTGCAAAGTAAAATAAAACTTGATTTTAGTATGAATAAAGTTGATATGAACTTTTCTAATTCATTTGTATTACTTTTATCAAATTTATGTTATATGGGGAATAGTGAAATGAAGTAGCATTTCATAGAAATCGTTTAATTAAATATAGGTATAAAACACTTGACAATCAAGTAACATCACACAAAGAATACAAAAATATATCAGTATAGTTTCATCCTTACACTAGACATAGAATAAACACATTATTTGTTTTAAGCCACCACACCAAAACTTAAAAGCAAAATGCAGGAATGTAAAAAATAATTTGGCTTTTTCCATGTTCGAGCCTTATTTTCATGGAGATCATGTTAGAATTATTAGACACCTGGTCTCAAAAAACTTATATTAGTGTTATAGTTAAGTATTTTCATGCGTTTACATTATTTACTTATTTTAATACAATAAATAGACTAGAATATGAGCATAAAAGTCTTTAAAATATATGGCAGAGGACTAATGGCACAATATGAATTTTATGTAATTATAAAATATGAAAACATCTTTTAGTTGAGATATAGTTAAGCATTTAGTACATTCGTAATTGGCACTTGAAAGCATATTATCACTATCACAGAATAAAATATATCATTCACACACAAGTTCATAATTGAAATGCAATGATTCTTATTGATTATTTCAATACTAAGTATTCCAGATATAAAAACTGTATTTGATAAATAATTTCCAGATTTTATCCCTATTTCCTATTCCTATTTAAAATAGGATTTGTAATTTTGGTCCCAATTTTCTTGGAATCTATGATTCACTCTTATTTTGTTTTGCTCTAACCGAATATCACTTCTTATTGTATTATTATTCCCTTATAGCTAATGTTATAACACCCCTTAAGAACTCATAGAAGTATTAATTATTTATGTAGCAAAATAATCTCCTTGCAATTGTGATATTTTAAAAACATCATTGTAATGTATTTCGAAACATGGAGATTTGCAAAACGGTAATTCACAAGCACTGCACATGAATCGAGTATCACGTCGTTTTCCTATTTTCCAGCAGAGTCTACAGGACCGTTGCGGATACTTCTTCTTTCCATCTTCTTTCTGTGGAATTGTGATTAGACGGTGTTCCAAAGATTGTCTTGGGAATTCTTCATTAGTGTTAATTCTTAACATTGTGTTAGTCACCTTACCATTGACTAAGTTTTTAAGGTCCAAAAATAATGAGTTCAAACTTGGGGAATCTGAAATCACGATGGGCATTTTCATTACATTTGCAAAATATTAATAAATCAAGTGAGAAAAGATTTTAAAAATGTTGAAAATGCCATCGTGTTTATGAGTGTGACGTGAAATGTTTGCAAAATAAAATATGCAACATAATTAATTAAAAATAAAAAAAAGGATTGCATTTTCAACACATTATTTTTAATCTCATTATCCACAAAAGCTTGTATAAAAAGCATGAGTAAGCTAATATAAATAAAAACAGATTTTGGAAATTGCAATATGTAACTAAAAGTGTATGGTGAAACATACTTAATAAGAATGTATTGGTGGCTTATATTCATTTATATGCTGCCTCTGCTACTTTGTTTAATTAATAATTAGTCCAGTTAAATTACGAATCGCTAATTTAACTGGACTAATTACGAATTAGTCCAGTTAAATTAGCGACCAACTTCGGAATTAGAGATAATAAGCTGAATTTTCGTATATACCTACATTTTGACGTTCTAAAAGTTGTCTCATAAAATCTCGTGTCTGCGTAGTAAATTATTCAAGGTCAAAGGTAAAAAAAAAAACTGACTGAAAACTGAAAAAACTACTGTAATGCAAGGTCAAATGGTATGGAAACAACAATTCAGGGCAACGAAGATGACGATGATGAAACAGAAATTCCCAAATGTCTAGAAGATGACAATGAGGAAGAAAATTAATACTTTTATTTTACTTTTTTGTTATAACACCGAAAAAATTACCGTACGAGGAAATTATCTGTAGTGTCGAGGACTGTTTATTTAAAAACAATATGCAAAAGGAAGATTTGGAAGCGATACGTCAAGATATTTCGTCTATGTTACGTCGAAGTTCAGCGCCGAAACCGAATCTACCAAAGACGAATTTAAAGCCTGGAATAACCTACGCAATAAACCAGAACTCACGATTCTCCGCACAGATAAGGGAAATGCCACGGTAGTCATGGATACGTCGGATTATAATTCTAAAATACAAGAACTTTTGTCGGATGTAAGTACTTATAAAAAGGTTAAAAATGACCCAACAAATAACACACTTAAAACAACCAGTGATCTCATAAAGAAACACTCCGAAAAATTAAATCTAGACGTAAAATCGATAATACCTACGTGTGCCAAACCACCGAAGTTGTATGGGTTACAAAAAATACACAAGCCCAATGCTCCAGATTGCTACAGATTGGCTCAACACTTAGCGAATATACTTTCACCGCTCAAGGGACATACAAGAGCACACACAAAGGATTCCTACCATTTTGTCAGTGAGACTAAAGACCTACATCTGGCAGACAATGAAACTATGGTCAGTTTTGATGTGCAGTCTCTTTTCACATGCTTACCTGTTGAAGACTGCATCTCGATTGTTACTAGAAGGCTAGAGGAAACAACATGCCCGTAGAATATGCAGTATTTCAGACACTGCCTTACATCTGGTTACCTATTGTGAAGGAGGAGTTCTACAAGCAAGTAGATGGAGTGGCGATGGGCTCACCTGTATCTCCCTCTGTCGCCGATATATTCATGGAGGAGAAAGCCCTGCTTACTTCTCCTGTAAACCCACGATTCTACAAGCGGTATGTAGACGACTTTCACAATTCCACCTTTAGATAAAATAACTGCATTTTTAGACCATCCTAACTCCTTAAATTCTAAAATTCAGTTCACTATGGAATTAGAGGCAAACAATTCTTTAGCTTTTCTAGATGTGTTAGTAATTCGGAATCCTGATAACACCTTGAGCAACACTGTGTATAGAAAAATGACCCATACAGATAGATATTTAAATGGTGATTCTCACCACCATCCTTCACAGTTAGCTACCGTGGGTAAATCTTAGTTTCAGAGAGCACGAGGGATGTGTGACAGAAAACACCTGGCTGCCGAGCTCCAACACGTCAAGCAAGTTTTGCACGACAATAAGCTTCGGGTCCCGCGCCTGCGTCACAGTGAACGAGTGAAGCCGGCCACAGTTGAGCGAGTGCCTGCTGTATTGCCATATGTCAGAGGTGTCACTGACAAGATTGGCTACATCTTGAAGCGTGCTTCCATTAAAACATACTTCAAGCCGCCGAAGAAGATTAGTCAGTTTTTACCATCAGTCAAGTGTAATATTCCTCTGCAAGATGCAGGAGTGTACAAGCTTGATTGTGAATGTGGTCTCTCTTATATAGGACAAACTAAAAGATTCATAAAAACCCGCGTTAAAGAACACATAGCTGATGTGAAGAATCGACGCTCCAGGAAGTCTACAGTCTGTGAACACGTACAGGATCGTCCCCGTCACTACATTAGATTTGATAGACAACAAATCCTCGCTAAAGAACACTGATTCCTTCCAAGGATGATTCGCGAGGCTATTGAAATAAAAAAACATCCTAATTTCAATAGAGAAGATGGCTGGGTTCTACCATCTGTTTGAGATCCCATAAGTAATAAAATTAAATCCCAACCCAAGCATGCAACTGCAAGACTTCATGATACTGTAAGTTCATACTGCGTAGATCGGAACAAAAATTAATAATTTTTAATTTGGAGGTAGCCTTGGTTAACTATGACATTGGGACGTCATACACCTCAGTCCCCCCCGTGACCATGGGTGCTGGAAAGTGCTCGAAACGTCGGGAATATAAAATAAGTTAATATACGCGATAAAATCCGTAAAATTAGTTTTTATTTAAATGTGTAGTGTTCGCGTAAATATAAGAAATCATTCATCATCATCATCATTACAGCCTTTCATAAGTCCACTGCTGAACATAGGCCTCCTCCAAGGAATGCCACAAAGCACGGTCCTGAGCCACAAGACCCCTGCCACGCTATCCGTGAATTTCTGCAACATCAGGGGACTTCACTCGAACCTAAACGCCGTCCACTACCATCTTGAGACGGCGAAGCCGGCCTTGCTCTTTCTGACCGAGACGCAGGTGTCCTCTCCGGCTGATACTTCGTATCTCTCCTACCCGGGGTACAAATTGGAGCACTCCTTTGTGCCTCGGGCTGGAGTTTGCGTGTATGTCAGAGAGGACATCTGTTCTCGACGCCTCGGCAGTCTTGAAGGTTCGGACCTGTCCATCCTTTGGCTACGCGTAGACAGCGACGACCATCCGCGCGTCTACGTGTGCCTCTATAGGTCCCATAGCGGTAACGCCGAAACAGACCGACTCATCGACCACGTCCAAATGGCTACAGATTCCTTGCTACAACAGGTCCCATCCGCAGAGATCGTGATCCTTGGCGATTTTAACGCCCACCACGCCGAATGGCTCGGTTCACGTTTAACCGATCATGCGGGGAGATCTGTTTATGACTTTGCCTTGGCATATGGTCTGACACAACTGGTTACATCGCCTACGCGGATTCCAGATGTTGAGGATCATACACCTTCCCTGTTGGACCTTCTGCTGACCTCTCATCCGGACGGATATCAGGTTTCCGTCGATGCCCCTCTTGGCTCTTCGGACCATTGTCTGATCCGGAGTGTGGTGCCACTCACGCTCCCCTCGCGGTTGCGTTCTGCAGGTTGCCGCCGTGTTTGGCATTACAGGTCGGCGGATTGGGACGGAATGCGGTCTTTCTTTGCTTCCTACCCATGGGGGCGGGTTTGCTTCTCGCCGGATGATCCCAGCGCTGTTGCTGACTCTGTCACTGATGTAGTGCTACAGGGAATGGAACTATTTATTCCATCATCTGTGGTACCCATCGGAGGCAGATCTCAGCCTTGGTTTGGTCGCTCCTGTAAGACTGCATTACGCAGTAAGCAGGAGTGTTATCAAGCCTGGGCTGCGGCTTCGGTGACTCGGGATGTAAACACTAGCACACTCAAAAAGAAGTATAACTTCGCCTCCAGGTCCTTCAAAAGTGTTATTGCCAAGGCAAAGTCAGAGCACATGGGCAGAATTGGCGAGAAACTAGTTCGCCTTCCTTCGGGAACCCGTGCATTCTGGTCTCTCGCCAAGGCTGTCCAAGGGAATTTCTGTAAGCCATCACTACCATCTCTGCACAGGGAGGACGACTCACTGGCCCACGACGCAAAAGAGAAGGCCGACCTGTTAGGCTCCCTTTTTGCGTCCAACTCGACTGTTGATGACGGGGGGAACACACCGCCGACCATCCCGCGGTGTGAGTGCTCCATGCCGGATGTGCGATTCTCACAGCGCTCGGTTCGCAGAGCACTCCTCTCCCTTGACATCCACAAGTCGAGTGGGCCTGACGGAATCCCCCCAATTGTGCTGAGGACGTGTGCTCCGGAGTTGGCACCGGTTCTAACGCGTCTTTTCCGGTACTCCTACTCCCTAGGCGTAGTCCCGAAATCATGGAAGACAGCTTTTGTCCACCCGATCCCTAAAAAAGGCGACCGCTCAGATCCGTCCAATTACAGGCCTATCGCCATCACCCCCTTGTTCTCCAAAATAATGGAAACCGTTGTAAACTGCCACCTCATGCGGTACCTTGAGGATCACCAGCTGATTAGTGACCGCCAGTACGGTTTTCGTCGGGGTCGATCAGCTGGTGATCTTCTGGTCTACTTAACTCATAGATGGGCGTTGGCAGTAGAGTCCAAGGGGGAGGCATTGGCCGTTAGTTTGGACATTGCGAAGGCCTTCGATCGGGTTTGGCACAAAGCGCTTCTTTCGAAGCTCCCTTCCTATGGGCTTCCCGAGAAATTATGCAATTGGATCACCAGCTTTCTTGCAGATCGGAGCATCAAGGTCGTTGTAGACGGTGCATGCTCCGACTACAAGCCTATTAACGCTGGTGTTCCACAAGGCTGCGTGCTATCACCAACGCTGTTTCTTCTGCATATCAATGATATGTTGCAAGCTGGTAGCATTCATTGCTATGCAGATGACAGCACTGGTGATGCTCTATACACCGGCCGTGCCAATATTTCTCGGGAAAACGTCACCGAGTACCGGAACAAACTTGTGTCTGAAGTCGAGTCTTTGCTGGACAAAGTCTCGGATTGGGGGCGACTAAATCTAGTCCAGTTTAATCCTCAGAAGACACAAGTTTGCGCGTTTACCGCTAAAAAGAACCCCTTTGTCGTATCTCCTCAGTTTCAAGGTACTCCCCTTGTTGCCTCAGCCAGTATCGGAATCCTCGGCGTCGACATATCGAGTAGCGTGCAGTTTCGTGGTCACTTGGAAGAGAAGGCCAAATTGGCCTCTAAAAAGCTTGGCGTGCTCAGCAGAGCGGGACAGTATTTCATGCCGGCTCAACGCCTGCAACTTTACAAGGCGCAGGTTCGGCCTCACATGGAATACTGTTCCCATCTCTGGGCTGGGGCTCCCCAGTGCCAGCTACTTCCACTTGACCGCATCCAGCGCAGAGCGGCTCGAATCGTCGACGACCGAGTCCTTTCCGATCGGCTCGACTCATTGGCACTGCGAAGAGATGTTGCATCTCTTAGCATTTTCTTTCGCATTTACCATGGGGAGTGCTCTGAGGAATTGTTCGGATTAATCCCAGTCGCCAAATTTCACGAACGCACATCGCGGCAGAACTCCCGATACCATCCACACCATCTGGATGATTGGCGGTCCACCACTGTGCGATTTAGAAGATGTTTTCTTCCTCGCACAACTTCCTTGTGGAATAGTTTACCACCAGCGATTTTTCCGGACCGATACGACTTAGGGACCTTCAAGAAAAGAGCCTACTCCTTTTTAAAAGGCCGGCAACGCATCTGCAATTCCCCTGGTGTTGCGGTTGTTCATGGGCGGCGGTAGTCACTTACCATCAGGTGAGCCGCATGCTCGTTTGCCCCCTCTCCTATAAAAAAAAAAAAAAAAAAAACCTGCATGTCTTACCAGGTCGTCACTCCATCTCGTGGGGGGTCGCCCTACACTTCGAAAGAAACTTTTTTTCAAGAAATCATTATTTTTACTTAATTATTTTTCTACTTAAAATCATTTATTGAGTTTTTAATTAGACAAAGCAGGTAAGTATTATTAATAGTGACCGACGGAAGATTCGGTTTCGGTTTCGGCAAAAAATCTGCCGAACCTTCGGCGACGCCGAAACTCAAGTGTTCGTGGATTATCCTGCGTCGTTCAGATGAGTTAGTGACTCGTGTATTACTCACAATTATATTACGTTAATACTCTCATTGAATAATATATTAGTTTTAACATTATTGTGAACACAATAAAATAAGTTCTCAATTGGCGAGTAACTTTTTATGGGTGTAAGTGCTGATTTTTTACAAAATTTACTTAAAAAGTATTTCTTAATGTTAAATTGTTGATTTTTTACTTTAAAATAAATAAATATATCGCTACATGACTATTTATTTTAGTATTGTAATAACAATAATATATATGTATATATATATATATATATATATATATATATATATATATATATATATATATATATACATATATATATGTGTGGTATTAACCAGGTACTATAAATATTGTAATAAAAATTAATATTTAATATATACGTGGTAGAGCCATGCTGCAGCTATATTATGGTTGTAGCACGAATGGGTCAGCTCGACTGGGGAAGGGCCACGCTCTCACAGAATACCAGCGTAAAATAGCAGCTTAAGGCTGCTGTGCTTCAAATGGTGAGTGTAGAAACAGAAACAGTAACTTTTTTATTCAATATAGATTATAAATAATACTTATTGAAAGTCACTCTTTTGTTTAATTACTACTGGTTCGGAAAAATACCTCTGTAGAGAACCGGAGACCCTTCTTACTGGAAACGAGGCATTCCAACTTAGTCCTCACAGTTGGCAATGCATCTGCATTTTGATTTGTAATCGTTTGTCACTCTTGTCCTATAAAATATATATATATATATATATATATATATATATATATATATATATATATATATATATATATATAAAATCCTATAAAAAGTAAATATACCAGTAATATCCTGTCCATTACGTACAAAATAAATAATACAAATTATTCAAAATTCAAGGTAGTATTCAGATATTCACGATTGACCTTGCATTACAGTACGTATGGCTGAGTTCTGCGTGCTCATCGCCCTCTATCGCAAATACGGTTGAGCGCATAAAAAATGTTTCATATAAAATTTGTCGCAAATTTTATGCTCTACAATTTTTATAATAGATGATAACATCATTGGAACAATAGATACCGAAATCAAATTTTTTTTAACTTTGACCTTGAATAACTTACAACACAGACACGAGATTTTATGAGACTTTTTAGACAACTTTTAGAACACCAATATGAAGGTATATACGAAAATTCAGCTTATTATCTCTCATTCCGAGGTTGAGCCCTTTTTAATCCTAAAGTGATAGACTAATTATAAATTAGTGTCTAATAATCAAACACTATGTAACTATACATATTTTATATCAGTAAGTTAGTATATTTTAGATTGGGCAGAGAGGGAATTTTGGTTCAGTAATTCTACTTCAATGATTGAAAAAATAAGATGAACTAGTAGGAGGAACTTAACAGCCAAATACTATGAGCACAAGTCGCTTAAATGTATGTACAGTAGTGTAGTATGAATATATAGCAACCAAAAGTGAATAATTCTGTAATTTTCATTGTGTTCATATTGTTATTCATATTATATAAAAAGTAACACCATTTAGGTCTGACCCTTCATTCCTCTTCCTACCCATCATAGTCATCATCATCCTTATTACCGCCTTGATGATGTTATTTGTAAATATTGTCTAATGGATACAACCAAATAACCAAGGGGATTAGAGTAGTAACACAATACATTCTTATATAAACAACAAATTAAAAATAAAGCCACATCTATCTTTAATCTAGTGTTATTTATATAACACAGCTACTACAAACATAAAAAAATTTTTTAATATGCATAATACTTACTATCCTGTGGTGACTGATACTCCAAGGCAACAGATGTATTATTCTTGCCATCTCTAGATGTTTCGAATTTTTTTGGAGTGGTGCAAATAGCAGGATCTGTCACTACAATATCTATATCCTCACACTCAGTTTTTAACTCTATTTGATTATCTGTAATGGGTTTATCTTTGCAATTATCATTTACTTCCTTATCTACATTAGTATTTTGTATTGTTGTATTCAATGAAGAAGTTATATCTACTGGTGTTTCATCATATACATTCTTTAAATTGTCATAATTGCTATTTTGCAGCATGTGATTATTAATTTTATTATAGACAGCCTTTTCATTGATTTTGGGTCTCTTTTCGATACTTAAAATATCAGAATAGTATGTTTTGTGGAGAAATTCTTCAGATTTCCTTTTTAAATGACTAAGCCTTTGTAATTTCTCTATAAATTGCCTTTGTTTAAGTAGTTCCAGCTCATTCTCTGCTGTTTCATTTATGCTTGTATCAAATATGTCTGAAGTGCATGACTCTGCATCAGGACTATCATTTTGACCACCTAGGCTTTGTTTGGAGAGTTCTTTACTTTTGTTATTATCTTCTTCTTCAGTCTGAAAGTAACATATCATTTTTATTAAAAAAAATTATAGGATAAGGGTGACAAACAAGCACACAGTCCACCTGATGGTAAGTGGTTACTGTGGCCCATAGATATCTACATCTATCCTCAATTACAAATCAAAATGCAGATGCGTTTTCCCCCCTGAGGACTAAGATGGAATGCCTCGTTTCCAGTAAAAAGGGGCCTCCGGCTCTCTACACGCACCATACGAAACACAGCAGCATTAAGGTGCTATTTTACACTGATATTCTGTGAGAGCATTGTCCTTCCCCAGTAGAGCCCACCTATTCGTGCTACAACTATACCAGTAATGTAGCTGCAGCATGGCTCTACCACGTAAGAAAATCAAATCAACCATGTAAGAAAAGCAATTTCTCATTAAGATATGCATTTCAATCAAATATAAATAAGGAAAATAAAATACATTTTAAATAAATGAAGTGTCAATAATAAATTATTTAATTTGCATGTTCATAATTTCTTTACAACCTATCAAAGGTGGACTGCTGAACATAAGCCTCCTAAAAATAGGCTACATTATATGGGAATATATAAATAACTCAACTAAACTAGGGGGATATTTGCCATATTTGCCACACTTAGCCCGTAGGTTGTTAGTGCATTTTTTTTTTCACAAACACACATCTATCACCCAGAGGGGTGGGCAGAGACTACGGACTTCCATTTGGCGCATTCCTGACACACCTCTCTCGCCTCCTTTACATCCATATATCTACACATATACGCTCGTTGCTTAAGGGTACTCCTAATCTGGCCCATTTTCAATGTATCGTATAATATTTTTTATTATTTTGAGTTAATATCAGAAAGATACTGCTGCCAATTACCTGTCCCTATGGATGATAATATGGGGTAGTAGATCCTCTTACAATATCTACACAACAGTTGTTTGTAATACCTCTATACACACATTTTCAATCAAAGAACCAAACATATTATGAAATGTCTATATGGCCATCCATTCTTATAACTTGTATTTTCTGTTTTCTTAGATGATTCATGATAAAAATGTAGTTGAAACCATCATCTAGTAATTTTTGAGTAATTTTCTACCTCTATAATATGTCACAAGATGTTTGCAATTTGTTTTTATTAACTTCTATAGTAACCACTAGACAAAATGAGCTGATTAATTTTCATATAATGTCAAAACAAACAACACTTAATTATTAATCTCTTATTACTTTAATTTTAACAATACATTGATTTGGGACACAAATGCTTTATTATTATAAAATTTCTGTTTAACTTTTGAAGCCTTGGATCAAATCTGAACTCACCTCTTTATTAGTTAATCCTTTGATTTGTAAAACTTCAGCTGTTCCTATAAAACTGGTGAGATCTTCTCTTTTGACACTAACTTCACCATGATACATGAATTGCAATAGATCTTTCATAGCCTTGTGGGTGACATCTCTTAATACAACTGAAAAATAGATAAATACAAAAACACAGGAAACAATATTTTCATTCCAATGGTTTTAAAAGTTAATTGGTTGGAAATTCAATAAATACCTATGGGATGTTGACAAGGATTCATTTGAAACATTTTCTTGAAATAAGGAGAACATATTGATAAAATAACTTTATGGGCTTGAAGTAAATGTCCTTCAACCGCTATCGTAACATCAACAAATTCGCCTTTTCCTAATAAACCGGCGAAACCTTTGCTTAAGTTCCCGTGAAAATTATTCCAAGACAATGAAAATTGTTGGTCCATTTCTAGTTTCTTTTAAATTGCATCTGTAAAGAAATATTACTATTAGTTGTTAATTTTAGCTGTAAAGGATTGGTAGAAATATTAATCATTAAAAAACTAACTATATTGCAGTTATATTTGCAAAAAATACTATGTTTTTCTCTTTAAAAATTTACAATGAAAGCAAATGTGACAGCTACAAGCAAGCGGCGCGTCCTAATGTTTATTTTTGATTTAAAATCAAAGGGATCTATGCCCATACGGTCTAGTCGTATTATGTTCACAAAATTCTTTGCAATATGCTCAGAAGTCGCACTCCGAAGACCTTGAGAGTTTTTTGACAACAGCTTAACCCAGCGAGAGAGAAAGGAATACCGATAGTATCACAAGCAGCCTAAGCGGAAAAAAACTTGAGATTCATATCACCATACAGTGGCAAAATTCACTTCAAACTTTACTTAAACGATTAAACGGTACGGCGATTCGTTAGTCAGATAGTAGTAGAGTGTTATAACTGTAATAGATTGATAACATAAAAATATAACACCGGGGGCACGGACTGACAACATTCAACATTTCACTGCACCGTGAGTTATTTAAGAACATTTCGATTGTTTAATTTATCTATTGTGTATTTTTGGACGGGAAAGTTTGTTAATAATGATGAATTTTTACTATATTGAAAATGCCTAGTAGTGAGATGTATGTAGACGGTAACTTTACTTTGCTTCTATAAACTGGTGAAAGATATTTTATAACACTGTTTAGGGCGTTACTCACCGGCTACGGTTATCGGAGAGTCAAGGGACTCGAGGATCAAAATAAAAGTATCCCAGGGCGCCTGTTGTTGGATGATTAGTAAATGAAAATTCAAAGATACACATACAGACAAAAAGTAGTTTATTTCCTTCTACGGTTCACATGTATAGCTCCAAATATCAAGTTTTCACTTTAAAATACCCTACGAACTGAGGTTTTGACTAACCTGGTGGATTACACAATATTACACTGTTTATGGTCAATCCCGCGAAGCAGTGAGGCAACAGATATCCTCCAGGTGTACGCCGGTCGCGGTCTCCTGGCCGCCCAGTCCCAATATAGCCACCCGTTGAAGCTGCCTCTCCTCGTTCACATTGTTAAACTTGATAATGGACCATACTCAAAGTACGGACTAAGGACTAAGGACTAAGGACTAAGGACTAAGGACCCCTATGACAAGGCAAAAGAATCTATGAAACACCGTGTACCGTTAATTAGAGCACATGTGCTTTTAAGAAAACAAAAATATTAAGTACTTATAATTTATGGGATGATGTGTTTCAACACATTAAACTGCCCGTAGACATTGTGTTTAAGGGGCCGTACGCCCAAGTAGTCGTCACTTTAAATTCATGTTCCGGCGTTTCGATTCAAAAATTATATATGTGCGTGTCCGATCATTACAACGGCTCGCTCCAAAAAGAACTAGGCCTCCCTTGGGCTACACGCCACCGTCGATCCGTGGTAGGATTTCGAACTAACACGAAAGGTCAATTGCATGCAATTAGCTAGCTCGATTCGTCAATATACGTTTCTAGTTACTTCGGACTAATGACGTTAGATGGCGCTCTGAAGTCTGTTCATCGCATGTAATAACGTAAATATGCTAAAATAATGTACACGAAAATTTTCGTGTTACAATTTATGCTCAAAAAATATACGTTTCACTTAATGGGAAGTGACAATATTCAAGTTAATAATAAGTTACAAGTATAAAGAATACAAAAAATTACAAAAATAAAAAAGGATAAATTTTCGCGTCATTAAACTTAGAATTTGTTATAACTTTTCAAACAATTTTATATATCTATGAACAAGTTATAAATTTATCAAAATATAATTTATTTTATATAAATAATCCTGTGTGTTCACAATTTGTAGTAATAGCACAGGTTAAAGAGAATCTAAAAGAGCCGTGGTAGCTTAGATGGTTAGCGCTCGCTGTAAGTTTCACAGTACGCGAGCAACCCGGGTTCGATCCCCGCCGGCACCAATGAAATTGTTAATTGCAATTTTAAGTGCTGATTTACCACGTGCTCGGCGGTGAACGTTTCTCACGATGTTTTCCTTTACTTTATTTTCCAAAAAGCTTTTGATAAAGTACCAATAGGCAGGCTTTTACACAAATTGGAATTTGTTGATGTTCAAGGGAAACTGTTAGTTTGGATTGAGACTTTTCTACGACAAAGAACCTTCAGAGTAAGGATTGGCGATACATTCTCAGATGAAAAAGAAATACAAAGCGGTGTGCCACAAGGTTCTGTACTGGGACCAGTATTGTTTATAGTGTTTACCTTTGATCTACCTAAAAGCTTGAGTTGTAATGTAAGTATGTACGCTGATGACACGAAGATATTCGCAAACCGACTAGTGGACTTTGATCGCCTTTGTGGGTTTGCTAGCGTGGTAGCTCGGTGAGAGTTATATGTGTTAACACCTAGCCACCAAACCCAACCGTAGAATTTAATACTCGTACGTTATATATTTAAATGACAGAATACTAATATAGGATAGGATAAAGCATTATATGACTCCGAATGAAGTAATGTTATTCGAGATAAAAAATAACTTTTACTGACAACAATTTACAAGAATGGAATTAACTTCGGGTACAAGATAAGTTAATAGAGGTGAGAGGCGCGCGCGTGTTGTTCATTCATAGTATTGATCCTTTTCAATTGAAGGGTAGAGCCATGAATGAATAGATTTTGCAGTTCTGGATCTTTGTCCTGAGCTCGTGCAAGATCGTCGTAGTCCACAGCTGTAGTGATTTCCTCGACTCTAGAAAGTGCGTCAGCAACTAAGTTTTCCTTACCAGGTAAGTATTTCAGGTCCGTCGTAAACTGAGCAATGTAGTCAAGGTGTCTGAACTGTCTTGGAGTGCATTTGTCTTTGCTCTTTGAGAAGGCGAAGATAAGAGGCTGATGGTCGGCGAATATTGTAAATATTCTGGCTTCGACCATATGTCGGAAGTATTTGATGGCTTCGTAGACAGCTAGTAGCTCTCGGTCGTAGGGGCTGTACTTCCGCTGTGCGTTGCTGAGCTTATGAGAGTAAAAAGCAAGTGGTTCCCAACCCTTACCTTTTCGTTGTTGAAGCACGGCGCCTATGGCAGTTTCAGACGCATCTATCACTATTGCTAGTTCTGCCGCTGGGTCTGGATGAGCGAGAAGAGTTGCTTGAGATAGTGATTCCTTACAGTCTCCGAAGGCTCGACGCCTACCAGACGGCTCGGGACCTCCTAGCCAGAAGATACGCAAACGCGCGGCGAATTGCGGACGAGCATGTTAAGCAGCTTCTAAGCCTCCCGCTGCTTAGTGACCGGGCCAGACTACGTCCGGACCTGTTGGATCCAGTCCTGGTGGCCTGTAATACGTTGAGGCGGCTGGATTTACCAGTGGGCGAATGGGCTTTTTTGTTGTTCCGCATCATGCTGTCCCGTCTACCTCTCGACCTTCGAATCCATTTTGAGGAGAGGTACGGCGGGGACGAGGCCTCCTATATTCCGCCCTTCTATGACCTGCTGCGGTTTTTGGAGGAGCAGTGCCGGCAGATCGAGAACGCGACGGGCACCGTTGACGACTTACGAGCCGTGCCCAGTGAGAGGCTGAATCCGCCAGGCAATTCGTCGTCAAACCCCCTGCTCCTATTGTCGAGCATCTACCCACCGGGTAACGTCGTGCCAGAAATTATTAGGTAAGCCGGTTCCGGCGAGGCGAACTATCGTCAAGGAGCGCCGCTAGTGCTGCTCATGTTTGGAAGGGCACATCCAGCGAGACTGTCCGCATCGGCGACCCTGTCTGCATTGCCAGGGCAATCATCATGCAGTTTTGTGGCTGGGTGCGAACGGCGTCTCCTCTCGGGGCTCTGCCAGGCCCTCGACCCCCATGGGCGGGGGCGCTCAGCCACGCCCTCTGCCGGGCGACTCTCGGCGCCCGCCGGACAGGCACCAGGCCCCTAAGTTTGAAAGGGGTCCCTCCCCCGACCAGTCTGGGGGTAATTCCCCCAGGGGCGGGGGTGTCATCACCCCCCCTCAGCGTGTGGAGAGGAACTTTACGGCTACTCATCGGTCCGCTGGACCCTTCTCACTCCCGTTAGCTGAGTGGCCGCGACTGGTGTACCATTGTTCCCCATTTGATGGAGGCGGCCCTGGCTAGCTGCCGCCTTAGCTCCCACCACGGCCGCCTCCACTGAGCCTTAAGCCGTCAACAGTCCACTTGTCAAAATGTTCTATTGCCGACGGCCTCAGTGAAGGCGTACAACCCGAGTGGCGACTGTTAGCGGTTGCGCTCTATGGGTCTCGGGTTCACGCCGTGTGGCCTCCACTTAGTGGTGGGAAGATTAGGGCCCCCCTGGAGCGTTGAATCACGCTGTCAAGGGGTATTAGATTTGGTTTGGTCGAGCACTTAGTTGGAGTTTTTTAAAATTTAAAATTAAAAATGCTTTTGGGTTTTCCGCGAAATTTCCATATTTGTAGCGGTTGTGATTAAAATAATTGAATTTAATCTACTCCTTTAAATGCTGCTGCATATGTTTTGTAAATATATTTAATCACTGTGTTTGTTGCTGCACGGAAAATTGAAATTGAATTATGGGCCCTTTTGAATGCTTGTGCGTATGCTTAGTAATTGTATTTGATTGTTGCGCCTGGTTGCTGAAAAGAAAATTTGAATTCATTTGAAATTGAATGTCGCGCGATTTGGAAAATTATGTATATGTTTTGTGATAGTGTTTAATCATTTTGCTTTGTGAAAGGGAAGGCTGAAATTAGATAACCCTATTTGTGCCGAAGTAAATAAAAGTCAATTCTCCTTTGATTTACATTTGGTTGGCACTGTCTAAGTTATTTAAATGAGAAGTAGGGCTGTCCCTTACGTTTATTGTTTTGTTTAATTTGCAAGTTGACCTATGTGCATCGGTGATTAATTTGTTTGAATTAATTCTATAGTTGGACATTGATGCTTTGAAAAATTAGTTGAAAT